AAGTGCAAAGAGCGAGGTGCAAGGAGCCAAGTGCACAGAGCTAAGTGCACAGAGCCGTGCAAAGAGCGAAGTGCATCGAGCCAGGTGCATAGAGCCAAGTGCATAGAGCTAGGTGCAAGCTAGGTTAAGTAAGTTAGGTTAAGTACTTAACGCGCGGGAAAGAAAGAGAAAGAGCTCGGTATTAAGAATCTCTTTTAAGGCGGGGGGTGCTCTGCGGGGATCAGCGTGGTCGAGGTGCAAAAACTCGAGGTTTTTTGTGTTTTCAGTGCCTGCGCAACCCTCTGCGGGGATCGGCGTGGTCGAGGTGCAAAAACTCGAGGTTTCTTTCGTTTTTGACATTCCCGGATGAACCCTCTGCGGAGATCGTGCGTGTCGAAGCGCTCTCGCTGTGGCGCCGTGCGAATTCTTCTTAGTCTCGGCGAACCATCTGAGGAGATCGTGCGTGTCGAAGCGCTCTCGCTGTGGCGCCGTGCGATTCTTTTGCTCGCGAAATGGCCTTTGGAAGTTGTCTCGTGGTTTGCGCGCCTGCTTTCGCAATCCCGCGGTCGCGTTCGATTCCCCCCTGGTCCGCGGCAGCTCCGGCTTGAAAATTGCATTTTTTAAGTACAAACGTAGTGCGCGACGTAGTGTGCGGAGCGTGCTCCCGCAGCTCCGGCTGGAAAATCGCAACTTTTAAGTGCAAACGTAGTACGCGGAGCACACTCCCGCGGCTCCGGCTGGAAAATAGCAACTTTTAAGTACAAAAATAGTATGCGAAGTACATTCCCACAGCTCCAACAGCACTTGCGCAGAGCAACTTGCGCAGAGTCACTTGCGCAGAGCAACTTCGCAGAGCAACTTGCACAGAGCACTTGCACAAAGCACTTGCGCAGAGCAACTTGCACAGACCAACTTGCACAGAGCACATGCGCAAAGCGCTTGCACGGAGCAACTGGCGCAGAGCACTTGCGCAGAGCAACTTGCTCAGAGCACTTGCGCAGAGCAACTTGCAGAGAGCAACTCGCGCGCAGCAGCCTGGAACAATGCAGCTTGCGCAGACCACTTTCGTGAGAAATCGCGCGGCGCAGTTCGTGCAAAGCACATTGCGCCGAGCAGACTCGTGCAGAGCCAACTTGCACAGAGCCAGTTGCGCAGAGCCACTTGCGAAAAGTAGCCTGCGTAGAGCCAACTTTCACAGAGCCAAGCTGCGCTTAGCCATCTTGCACAGAGCTAAGTTGCGCGAGCGTGCTTTGCAGAAACTGTGGCCGTCGTGTAAGATTTGCAATTGATTGCTTTTCCTTTTGCTTGTAATTCGTTTCGAGCTTTACGAGCTTTACTCTTCTTGTTTTAACGGATGTAAATATGTGGGATCGAACACTGCCATGTTTCCTTTCGTAGGACGATGAGACGGAGCTCTCATGTGACCATACACATTGAGCATCGCAGCGTGCAGACACGCACGCCGCAGCCATGTAAAAAGGTGTCTCCGCGGCTGGATGAGCGCCTGGGGAAAAATGCTTTCGGGCCAATCGTCCTCTAGTTTCAAGACGCAAGGGGGTTCCGCTACTTGAGATTCATGCCAGGGGCCAGTGCGTCATTTGATTGCCCCAGCCAAGTTTCGGTTGGCTGCAAGAAGGGAAACCGGCGGTGAAGCCGTGAGAGCCTAGGCCCAGAACTTCGAGGCCGACTTTGTGCTGGTGGGCACCAACGTGCTTCGGGGAGATCGGGGCAAGGCCCCTGTGGGCTCGGCGCCTCGCCTCACCTGGCGTGTTTGTTGTTTGGAGGGGGGAGTAGTTTGTTTTGGTTGTTAAAGTTGTTTTCCCCAACGGCCACAACTAGCGTATCAAAGCGCCAATTTGCAAGGGCAAAACTCTGCTTAAGCATCCCTCCACACCTTTTGTTTAAGCAACCTCCTCTTAGTTCCCCTTTACAGCGGGCCAGGGTCTGGTCTACACAAACTTTGCCAAACCCTGGCTCTTGGGACTAGACCTATGGTTCATGAGGGACATGGGGGAAGAGCTCTGGCGCAAAATCTCTGGCAAGAACCTGAACTCAGTCTTTTCCCTATGTCCTTTAGGGTAACTGCAACATGCTGTGGAGAACCGTCGGTGTTCAGTTGCTGTTGTCTGCGAGAAGGGTGTATCTTCTTGAAAGTGATGACGAACATCGGAAGTCACAAGCTCGAGGCTCTGGGCAAGTTCTTGCGTCCGCGAAAAAGGGTCAACCAACCTCCGCCCACCCGAAGCCAGTCCAGATTTAACATTACGTCTCAAAGCCTCCGGCAGATGGAAACAGATCGGTCAGCGCTCTTGGCCGCATTTGGAAGGCACACCTGACCTGAGACCCAGACCCGAGACCCCCGAATTTCCGAGTGTGTCTGTCTGTCTCTCTGCCTGCCTGCCTGCCTGCCTGCCTGCCTGCCTGCCTGCCTGCCTGCCTGCCTGCCTGCCTGCCTGCCTGCCTGCCTGCCTGCCTGCCTGCTTGGCTGCCTGGCTGCCTGGCTGCCTGGCTGGCTGGCTGGCTGGCTGGCTGGCTGGCTGGCTGGCTGGCTGGCTGGCTGTCTGTCTGTCTGTCTGTCTGTCTGTCTGTCTGTCTGTCTGTCTGTCTGTCTGTCTGTCTGTCTGTCTGTCTGTCTGTCTGTCTGTGTCTGTCTGCCTGCCTGCCTGCCTGCCTGCCTGCCTGCCTGCCTGTCTGTCTGTCTGTCTGTCTGTCTGTCTGTCTGTCTGTGTGACAGAGGATGCGCCTGTGAGTCTTGTGTGTGTGTGTTTTTTTGTTTTTCTGTTGTTCTTTTTCTTTTGACATTTGAGAAGTGAATTGCGGTTGGCAATACCTCAGACACCTCACCAGGCGCCCTTCCACGAAACTTTGCAGTTTCAATTTAAGCCTTAGACCGCTTATGACTTCTTGTTACACCTTCTGCAGAAAACCAACCACGAAAAAGCTGAATCCTTTAGCAACACAAACTGCACCCCAATCCTAGACAAGCCTTTTAACTCCTCACACCAGTATGCGCATTTTGCCAAACGGTGAGAATGCGGCGGAAACTGGCCGTTGCTCCATCCCGAGGGATGGCCCTCGCCAAAACAAAGGTGATGCAGTGGGCCGCGCAGAAAAGCATGCCGTTGAACCAAAATCCAAAACCACGCATCTGACATGATTGACATGGGGCTTGTTTTTGTTGGTTCGGGCTGCGCATGCAAGAAGCATCCCCTGGGCAGGAAAGAGAGCCAGCTGTTAGTATGGCTGGGGGGTGCTCCCGTTTTAGCTCTCCAATCCAAAGTTGTTTCCGGTGACGCATAGACAACCCAAGCTTGAAAGAAACTGAGCCCGAAAGTCCTCGAAGCACAAGACCTGAACCCCGAATCCGAAAACCCACAATTTGTCCACGAGTCGCCCGCCTTGCGAGCCCCAGGTGTCCTTGCAGATTGTTATGCAGTTCCCTGGCAACTGCGTCGTCAGCAGCTTCAACCCCGACACGGACCAGTGTTTTGCGCATCCACACGTCGCTACGCAGTGCCTGGCGCCGGAAAGAGCTTGTAACGTGCCGAAAAGGCATCAGCCAGTGACTCCTTCACGTGGCCCCTATTCGCGTGTGTGTCAAACTGATCATGTGCTGGAACTCGAGAAGCCTTGAAAGGCTTTCCCGTTTCAACAAGAGCTGGACCCCATCAGGATAGTTTCCAGCGAGAAGCAACAGTTTTGAAAGTTTGTTTTTGACGGTTCTTGCAGGGACACAGCAAAAGCCAGGAAAGGTTTGATTGGGTTGCCATTTTTGGTTGTTTCCAAGGCAAGCAATGGGTTGGAGGCACCTGTCTTCAACTCTTCCCCCTCCAGCGAAAGGGTCCCTTGGCTCTGAGCGCCACATGGCCAGCATTTGCTTGTTGGGACACAAGGTGATACTGTACTACAAGGGGTGCTTGATCCATCCAACAAGGGGATCATATATCTATATATATATATATGCACATGTGTTTTTGGTACACATGTTTAACATACATGTCATGTATGTCTCATATGTGAAAATTCTATATGGGAACTCCTGTAGTTCTCTGAGTCTGACAGCTTTGCGAAGTTTCATTGGTAGGACATGGCGCTGAAGAAGCAATGATCGTTGACGTGGCGCGCTTCGCGGGTGCGAGGCCATGTGTACCTTAAGACAGCGGGGCCGTCAGGAGGCCAACCCTGGGATTTGTTGGTCTTAAGCCAAATCCATCAAGGGCTCTGAAGCATTCTGGAAGCGTATCTAGGCTTCCCCATAACTTTTTTAGGACACCAGGGGTTGTTGAAAGGTCAAGGTTGCACGGTAACTATTGGTTTGGGAGGACTTGAGGCGTGCGTTCAGGGACCAGCCAGCTGTCGGCTCCACGGCCGAGAAGGAAATTGCGCAGAGCCCTCGGGCGTCGCAAAGCCGTGCCCAGGGCGGGTTGGCAGGTGAAATAGCCTGAAGCAACCAGCTATCGCAAGGAGACTTGCCGAACTGTGGCAGCTCCATGATTTGGAGGGAAATGTTCGGATGTGTTGAGCCTACCGCTGGATAAGCAAAGCAATCTAGAAATCTCAGGGCGGTGTCATCCCATTCAAGCTATGGTGCAAGCTGCTAGGCGAGTTTGAACCACGCCAGCAGTTTGCAGTTGGAGCGGAGAACAACTCCAGCAGGTCCACTGCGCAGGATGCCTCCGCGCATGCGTCGTCCTGGAACAGTTGAGCCTCAGTTTCGCTTCCCACCGGCTCGGTAGGGTGTCAAAGTTAGGGACCCCTCCCCTTCACACTGTTTGTGTCTTCTTTGTTTTCAGAATCGGGGGGGGTCCCTAATTTGGACGCTTTTCCATTTGTTGCGTCCGGCGGTCGGCCTCAAAGGATGTTGCCACGGAAAAGAAGCATCGAGACTGCGCCTTGCGAAACACACCAGGCCCGCAACTCAGTGCTTCGAGCACGAGGCAATTGGACAGCACGGAACCCTACGGCCACGGCACTCACCGCCTTGGGTCCCCTTCGCCTCCCCGCGAAAGCCGAAAGCCGAGGCGGCGATCGCATGCTGGCGGAAGGCGACTACATCCATGTGGAGGCACCGGATGGGGCAAGTTCCCATCACCGGATGGGTGCGGGGAATACATATATATATATATATGTATGTGTAGATATATATATATATATATGTATATATATATATGTATATGTATATATATATATATATATTGCCAGACTGAGCTTACCTTGTAGCCTTTTGCTTTGTGGCTTCCTGCATTTCCCTTTCAACCAGCCAAAATCAGCCTTTCTGGGGGGTCTAAGTCTGGCTACTTTGGTTGTCCTTCCCTCAGCTCTTTCCCTGGGCTCGTCGTCAACCAATCATTCAGATTAAATAATCGTCAACATATGTCTAGGCAATGCTTTGTGAGTCTCACGCTCAAATAGTGAATCCATGTTACATATGGAACTGTGACGCAGTGTTTGTGGAGCGCCATGTTTAATATTTTTGTTTTGTCACGTTTTTTAGTCACGCTCAAGTAGATGGTTGAAGATTTGGTTAAACAACTCTACCCCCTGCAAACCAACAAAGACCCTCAAAGGAGATTCCTCTACACATGATCGCGCTTGGGGTTTCATGTTCATTTGCACAAAACCATCGGCCTTCTTTTTCGTGCCCGTAAACGGCAAGGTCCGATGGAGGTACAACTAGGTGTGGGGTTGGCCTAAGAATATTTTTTATTTTCCCCTTTTGGTTTTAAAGGGAAGCTATCACTACTGGGCATTTGTTTTTTTCCAGGGGTCTCCAGCTATGGCTGTGGTTTGGTAACGTCGGCAGGTGGACCTCCGCGGGCTGCACCTGCCGTTCGGCACTTTGGCGGTGGCCATCAATGCGGAGCCCGCGGAGGCGCGGGGCGCATGTTGGGGGGAGAGGCCGGGAGGTGGAGGTTTTGGAGTCGCTTTTTCGAGGATTTTCACTGCTTCCTGCCCTGTTTCGTAACTTTTTTCCTTTTTGAATGGTGGCTCTCAGTCTTATGCGTGCTTCCATATGTTTGTCCTTTGTCCTGTGTCTTCTTGACCGGCCCAACACATGCGTACGTAATACGTACAGGGAGGCGTTTGCCTGATCATCATGGCATCCCTGAAGTGACTACGTTACCAAAAAGACACCGTGCACATTTGGTTGTTGTTGACTTGAAACATGGAATCTTTTGGTCAGATGACAAGCGTCATCAAAGGGCCTTATGAATATTAGTTATGAAGCATCTCTGTCAGAGCTGTGTTTGGAACTACCGCACTGCCGTATCGCAAATATTGATGTGCAGAACTCCTTTACTGCGGAGCTGATGTCGCACTCTATCCTGGCTTTTGTCCTGTGGATGTGGGATGTACGGAAGCCAGGACCCGGACAGTTTGCAAACTGGGTTTGACATCCATGTGGTTTTGTTCTAGCACCACCGGGATTTCAGACGCCGAAGATGCAACTGCCCTCTCAGTCGGATGGCGCGGGAATGCTTTGAACGACACCAGTCCCTTGCAGGTTCCATGTTTGTGTTTGCGAGGGTACCCCTAAAACAAGACCCCCCCCCCATGAAACTGTTTGGATGCTGATCCAGCCTTGGGACACTGCCATGATGCCAGCCCCGTGCAGATCAAAGCGCCAGGTGGTGTTTGATGACATCGCCTTGACATCGGGGCCAGCTCTCCATGGTTGAGAGGTGGCGAGAGGAACTGGCTGGGTTTTGTAAAGGGGAGTGACCCCTGGACGCTAGGGCGTCTTGGGTGGCATTGCGTCTGGTGCGAGTGTTGATTGCCTGTGCCAACACATGTTGCAGTTCGCCCTCTGGCGGTCCTGCCCTCTCCAGCCGCCTGGGCCATGCCTTGATTGTGTCTAGAGTTTTGTTTCTTGATCTGGGGACCATCTTCCTTCCGCTACCACCATGTTTTGCATTGGTCCCACCTGTGCTGCTTAGTGTGTGACATGGCGGCCCAGCCGCTGGGGCGCAAGCCTCACGAGTGGTTCTGGTTGTTGCTGGCACAGCTTTTTTCGCCTGCCGCCAGCTGTCGTTTGGGCCCGGCAGGCTTTTGGCTCATAAGATGCAGAGGTCGCTTCATGGGCAATGCCCGTCTTTTAGACCGGTCCGAATTTGTGGTTGTTTCATCCTGTGTCGTGGTGATGGGCATGCGAACAGCAGCTGACAGCCAAGCGTTCTTTCTCAAGGAGGGAACGCACATGGCTGTTTGCTTCCTCTTCATGCTTTTTCCTGTTCAAACACCCCCCCAAACTCGTGGGCTTTTGGTGGGAACTCTTGGATTTGAGTGACCAAAAGGGTGCCTTGGGCATGATGCACTCGCCAGGTCGCCGCTGATGCCGGTGGTGTGTATGGGCGGGGACGGGTCTCGGGTGAGGCTTTGCCCGGCGAGCTAGGCGGCTGGGGTTGGAAGAGATCGGATGCGCAATCCACAGCACCAGCATGTTATCCTCGAACATTTGAACGCTACGGGGGTTTGCTGAAAGTATGATTTGGAACCCCCTAGAATGGGTGGTTTCAAGTTTCCTTGCACACCCGCTAATAATTCAAGGTTACAGAATTGTTCGACTCCAGCGCTGCAGCAGCTTGGCAGCTGTTCCGCTCCATTGCCACAATCCAAGCCGCTTCCGGAGATTCGGTATTGCCGATGCTGGGACAAAGATCCCTTGAGATAAATGATGCAAAAAGCAAGCGTGGCAGTCACCGGGGATCACAACAAACATGCGGACGCCCCCCTTATTGCAGAACTTGCCATGGTCATACATCCAGGTCCGACATTAGCCTAGTAGGTGTGTTGTTTGTTTTGGATGAGTATGACATCCCCATCTCCACGTGCGGCTCGCCCATGGATTGGCCACGCTTATCGGGGTCACGTGTGGAAAGTACCTGTTGCAAAGGATGAAACGCATCCAAGAGAAGAGCCTGCTCGAAGAATAGGCGTTTCTTAAGAATAGGGACCCTTCCCTTTCAGAACCATCCGAACATGATGTCCCAACATTTTCGGTCTCACCCTCAGATCAGTGTAAAATGATCACAGATCAGTGTAAAGAGATACGACTGTGGGCCATGCAGACTACTGAATCACTGGGATGTGTGACCTGTGTGATTAGGGTTCTTTCCCGGGGGCCCCTGTCGGAATGGCGAGTTCTTATGCTGCACCAGAAACATGAAGTCATGCTGGGCAATGTTGCAAGCAACATGTGCCATGTTCAGGAGACATACTTACTCGGGGTTACTAGGGATGGCCATTTGGTTCTGTCATTTTTGGTTAGATGAGGTGTCCCCAAATTTGGATTGGTGGTTTGGGGATGTGAACCCCTGGTTCTTGTAGAGGCCAAATGGGAACATACTGCCAGTCCAAGTCACCGATTTGACATTCAGTGGACGGATTCCAAGGAGAATCTGGACGGCCTCCGCCGGTTTCAAGAATCGAGCCATGCAGGGGAGGTAGGAAGGGCCCGATCCCCCGGTCGCCGCTCCTGCGCCGGCCGCTGGCCGGGACTTCGCCATGGTGGGAGGCAGTGGTGGTATCTTGAACGAGAAGTCAGGGGACAACACCAGCCAATCTTCCCATGTACTCGTGTCACACGACGGTCACAGTGTGCAGCCAATCCACGAAGCGAGTTCGCGGGGATTGGTCGTTGTGCTAATTGTGGTGTGTGTGGTCCACGGGGATGCCAAACAATTCCCACTTTTGGCGAGTCAAAACATTCATTTTGGGAGCAAGCGACTCATTCACTGGGCCCGTCCAGTCATGGAGCTCATCGCCATGATCCGGGCGGGCAGCATGGACTTCGTGGGACAGAAGCAGGCGACGCATTTGGGTTGGTCCCTTGGACTTCGGTCGGGTTTGAAGCCTCAAACACCGCCTCATCTATGCAGCCATGGTTTGTGGATTCGGAGCCCCTGGCACTCCCTTGGGCCTTGTCTTCTTTGGGAGATTGGCGGTCACCTATAACATATTTTTTTGGGGGGGGTCTTGGGGAAGCTTCTCAGTTCCAAATCAGCCACACAAGATCACGTGTATTTTCCCAAGCCACTGGACGCTAACTTGGAGACCTTCTCTTTCGCTTAGCCAAGACATACCAACCATTTGCTTAGCCCCACCAAACAAGCTTTCCTGTTTGAACCATCTCAATCCTCACAAGCCCCTGCGAGTTGCCAGGCATTCAACATGCAGTTCTACTGCATATGGACGTCAGGCCCGTGCTGCCGTCTGCGTCAGGATACTGGCTGCCTGAAGGGACGGGGGTGTTGGGACATGGGGAATGTCCAAAGCTGCACGCTTTGTTTGATAGGACGTGTTTGCGTTTGCCAGGGTCCCTCACAACATCTTACGAAACATTGGGAATTGGGAGGCCCCATTGCACATGTTACATCCTTTTTGATGTACAGATCATTTCTGGTTTGTTGGCCTTTTCCTGGACCTCAGAATCTGCATGATACCCATCTGCAGGCGTCATAGGCTTCATCCACGGCTTCTTCGCGCATAGGCGCTTCTGCTTGGACTTTTGCTTGCCTCACTGTGGTGCGGTCTTGGGCAAAGAAGTTCAATCCACCAGAGCCGAAAGGTTCCCTTGAAGGGAAACCAGGTTAATTTTCTGGTCAAATTCCGTTTGTGGGGCAAGGTTCGCCCGAAAGCAATCGGCAATGTTTCGAGTTTGGGGGATACCTTGCTGTCAAGTTTTCTTTGTTGCTTATTCAACAGCGCCAGGTTCCTGTACACCTTTGCGTGGATTTTTGGCCGCGGGCTCAGAAACTCAGGGTGAGCGGTTTTAGACAACCATTCTCATTATGAAGGTTGTCAAGGGAATCATGCTAAAGGTCCGCAAAAAGGAGATTTGACCATGGTTGGTGTTCTTTTGGTCAGGGGCAATAGCATCCAAAGGTTGCTTTCCACTTGTTGTAGACCCGCTCGGTGCCATTTGTCAGAAAGATGTGTTGCATTGTGCCGTCCGCTGGAGCTTAGGCACCAGTGCAATAGTGGGGCTGCTGTGCGTCCCGCCATGGCCGATGTGGAACAGGCGACGAAGATCTGCAAGGGATGTGGGATGTCGGAATGCGTGAGAGTGTTTTGCGTGCGAAAGCGGATGGCAGGTGCTGAGAAGCCCGCATGTTTCTCATTTCCCCACAAGGCCACCAAAAAGAAGTATAGATGGCAGACCTCTGTGGCATGTCATGGATGGGTCGATTGACTGGACGATTCGTGGGATGTGCTCGGAATTTGGGCGTGCAGAGCCCAGCGAGGGGGAAGCTGCGAGTTTCGAGCGCAGGCACCCCGTGGCGTGGCTCGTGCCGAAGGACGAGGATGAGGAGCCAAAGGAGCCCAAAGCCAAGAAGCAGGAGCTGCGGGTCGGGATATAAAAGTGTGTGTTGGACCCCCTTTCAGCTTGGTTTAAGGGGCAACCAAAAGGCAAACTGCATGTGTGTTGGGTCCCCCTTTTTGTGCCACATACCTGCAACAAGAGGAAAATCCCCTGATTTCTTTCGCGCCACTTATACTTTAACTACAAGGCGGAGATCGCTTCAATATCTGGCAAGTCAATGTCGGCCAACGACTTATCCAAGTCAAATTGTTGAGGTAGGAGAGGGTCTTGTGCGAGTGAAGCCCGGAGGATTTCATTGCTCTGAGGTTGGGTTTGAAGCCACGGGGATCCGACAGTTCCAGGAGTGAACCTGAGACATATTGTTTAGAGGTGGTCCATCAGAAAGTTGGCAGTTCGTAGCTTGCCTTGACTGCTATTGGGTTGGATCTTTAGACTTGAACTTTTGGGAAATCAAGGGGTTTTCCACTAAGCCCCCCAAAAGTTAAGCTTTTCTTGCAGGGGGGTCAACAGCAACCAAGTTGCGTTTTGGCAGCTGACGGTTGGTGCTGGTTGGGGGCTTCTTGATGCCAGGAGAGCAGCGCCAGTGCCAAAAAGAATGCCAAAGGCAGCAAGAAGAAAAACTAGGGCTGTCCCAATCGGGTGCAGCGGACGGCCGTCTGGAAAAAAGGAAGAGACTAGCTGCTTTGCTTGCACCTGGGGGTGCACGGGTGGGTGGCTTGGATGGGTTTGTCTAAAAATAGGATACCCCCGAAAATGGCTGGTGTCTCTTTGCTTTGAAACAAACTCAACAATGGTACCCTCCAAAATAGTCACAACGACATGTGCTTTGAGCGGATAGCGGCGAAGAGGGCTTGCAGAGAGGCTCCTGCTGTTCTGCTTTCCTTCACCAAGCAAGGGTGTACACTTTTGGCCGTCTTCCCTCTGCATGTCCACGAGCCTTGGGGCCCTGCGTTCCTTCCCCCTGTCAGGGATTCCTTTTTGGATGGCGTGCAAGGACGTAAGGAGTTCTCAGGCGCCAACAATGCAGCCATGTCTTGGGGTCGCGCATGAGTTTGTCCTCGACTTGGAGAAAGGACCTCCCTGTTGGATGGCGTGTCAAAAGACCCGGCTTGTTTTGCGTTGAACATTCACAGCGAGACTCCCCAAATTGAACCTTCTTCTTTCTTTGTGGGGGGGGGGGGGGTCCGCATGGCTGAATTGTACATTTTAATATGCATACATCACTCAAGCTGCTTACATATGTATATATAAAAAAAAAAAAAAAACAACAACATAAAGACATAAATCAATAAGTACATTAGATACATCCACAACATAATCAGATGGATCGATAGCTAAATTGTAGACGTTTCGAGTTCCGCCTCGGCCAGTCCGCTTGTGGCTGGCTGTGCGCTTTATAATTACTGTGTTTTAGTTTGCCTTGAGGTGCCGTGTTTATTGGAGTGAGTGAGTCGGCGCCGAAATGCGTGAGCTGGTTTCCAAGGTAGAGGGTGGGTGCACGTGCGCACGTTTCCACATGGCTTCAAGGGCCAGAATGAGAGCTGCAGAGAGCCACAGAATGGCTAGCGAACTTCTTGACCGGTTTCTACGGTTTTTAGGGGGGATTTGATGGGGAGTTTGCCGGTCTTTGGAGGGGTGATTGATCAGTTTCTAGAGGGGATTTGACCGGTTTCAAGGGGTTCGATCGGTTTCTAGAGGCATGGGAAAGTGGGGAAGGAATAACGCAATGCACAACCATATAACTATAGATCGGTGAGCTCAACAAATACATACCTATGTAAAGTATAATGCACTAAATATAAAGAAATACATATATATATATATAGACGTATATATATATTTATATGTGTATATATATATTGTTTCTATTAAATAATATATATATATATATATATTATAATCTGTATCTGTATTGTATGTTCGCCGGATAAGGGCCTGGCTTTGGCCCCAACGCTTCGAGACGAGTTGCCGGCCGTCGAGCCGTCGGCTCGGATCCCATGGCCTGAGACCTGGGCTTCCAGCGGGGGCCCCGTAGCCGATTGAGGTTTAGTGGCGGCTGTAGTGGTTTAGTGGGGGTTTTGTAGGGTTTTTAGGTGGGGTTAGGTGGGGTTGTTAGTTGGCGTTTGTTTGGTTCCTCTGATTTGGGGTGTTTTTGAACGAGGTGAACTATAATGAGTGCAGATGTGCAGTGGGTTCAAGCACTTGTGCCTCAAAAAGAGGGGAGCCTCGGGCTTGCCCACCTTGAGGGTCTCTCTTGTGTGAGGGGGGAAGAAAGGAGGAGGGAATTCACTCATTACGCAGAAGCAAACTTCGGGAGTGATTGAGCTGTACCTGGTGAACTCTGGTTCGATTGACCTAGAATCATGCACCTGCTCATGTTGAAACTCATTGAACCACGCTTGCACAACGTAATGTGTGGTTCGCACATTTTGCTGGGCACGACATATCCTCCCAAATTGATAAGTTGCACCTCCCGTGTTCTGTGGGTTTGCCTCCTTATGAGTGGTATGACTGTTTCCTTATTTGTCTTGGCAAGCGCTGGCAAATCCGTGCATCTCTGGGACAGTGAGGGACACCTTTCGGGAGGCGTTTTGAGCCCGTGAAGGGTGCGCCCTGTTGGACCCCCGTGCCTTTCACTCAGCTGTATCTCTGCTTGTACGAGTTGGGACCAGAATTCCCGCAAACCTTCATCAGCTCACTTCCTGAGTTCCTGGACTTTAAACTTTTTCGGAGGACCTCTTTAGTCGCAAACAACAAGTTTGGACTTTGTTTGGCCAATCTACTCAGGAAGTGAGTCGTGGGGTCCAATAGATTTGTGTTCCTTGCGCAAGGTCAACGGAGTTAGGTCAACTGACAGAAGGGATGGAAATCGCCCTGCAAGCTCAAAGGACCTATTGTGGAGGGAAGTTGTCTTCCAGGACTCCTACCGCTTAGATTTCGTGTTGGTGGATAGGAGGGTACATGAAAACAGCGTTGACAGAGGATACAGTGGAACTACCCTCCCAACAGCAAGCGTGGAATCTGAAAGAGGATCCCTGTTCCCAATTGAGGAAAACGGTCTTCCAGGTCACTCTCAGGTTCCGTGTGTGTATCTGTTTTTGAGGCTCCCCATTTTTTTTGGTTGGTTTACGGGGAAGCCAAGCAAAAAAACGCTGAAATCCGTCAGACGCCCTTGACGCGTAGCATCGGCCTTTGGGTTCCGAACACCCTGAGGCCATGGAGTCTCCGGGCATTGCCACGGGCCAAGTCGTCCCCAATTCAGCCCCCCATTTCAGCAGTTGTCTCACCTGAGTTGCTGGACTTTGTCAGGCCATTTTAGAGGCAGACAAGGTGTTTGAGCTTTTTTGGCGCCAATGCACTCAGGAAGAGAGGCATTCTTGTGTTTTTATAATGGGCCACACAAAAGTAAACTTAGGAGCCCTGGAATAAATGCCCTGCAACCAGTTGGTCTGCGGGCAACCAGTTGTTGCCTCCAAGGCGCAAGGTAGCGCAAAACACCAAATCGGGGTGACTAAAACGGGAAGGGACCGGTTTTGTTCCGGGGCAACTAAAAGGAACCGGTCGCCAGTTTGTAGGTGCCCTCTATGTTTGTCTTCGCCCTGTCTCCTACACTTGGGTGGTTCCCTGCAAGAACAACTATCTTGGTTTGGTGATTTGAGCCGATGAAACGAGCACCATGTCAAATACAACGCATGACCGGTCTACACATGGCGTGAACTACCCCTTCCTGAATTTCAGTTTGTTTTTACCTGCTGCGCCCACAAAGAAGCGACGTGCGCTTGGAATGGGAGCCGAAACGAGGAAGTGGAGTTTGATTCATTGGCTTGGGCACCCTCAGCGTGAAGGGAACCCAGAACAGCTAAGCCGCTTGAAGGGTCCAAAAGGTTGGCCAGTGGCAGTCCCAGGTCATCAGTGCCTCTGAGCTGCGCCGGATCCGCGAAGGCATCGGCGCAGCGCGGCAGCCCGGATCCAGCTGGCCCAGGGCTGCACGTGTCTGAGAACGTGTGGGGGGAGGGGTAGTAAATTGAGTCTATTTTGCAACCACCTCTTGGGGTATTTGGTTTAAATGTTAGTTCTTGGGGGTTGAGACTGCAGAGTAGCTTCTAAGTGTCCTCAGCAAGGGGATGGGGACGAAATGACACCATCAATGCGTCCCAAAAGGTGGTCCTGATTTTGGCAAGGCAAGTGGGTGTTTTCTCAAGTACGGCTGAGGACGCCTCAACAATATTGGTTTCCTTCCTCCTTCCAACACCAAACAGGAGTCCCAAATGAGCCCCTTTTGGTGGTTTGGTTTGGTTGTCGTCCTTGCAACTGCCTGTGCGGATTGCTAAATGAGGGATGCTCGAATTGGATTTGGATTGGAGAAAGCAGGGCAGACATGCGCGAGGCAGGGTCATGACCTTTCCCTGGGGTTGCCTCCAAACTTATTTCTATTGTAGTAGACGACTAAACATGAACCGCTCTGAAAATATGTTTATTGTTTTTTTTCCTGTACCCCAAACAATCCAGATTGTATACATGGGTGTGTTCCCGCAAGTCGGCTCTATCGGATGAGGCTGGCCCGGATGCCGAAGCCACGCAGCTCCGCCGGCGTGGGTTTAGGGCGCAGATGGGCAGTGCCGTGCTTATGTTTTTTTTGCCGGGCGGGCGGGGTGTGGGGTAGCCTTGTTGGGGTTGTTCAAAGGACTGTCAAAAGGACATATCCGATAAGGCTAATTAATCCAGGATTAATACGTTTGGCTGCATTCACCCATTTTCGAGTTGTCGTATTTGGAGAGAACCGCACCTGTTAGATTCGGGGGCCAAGACCGAATTCAGTTTCTCCCGAATGTCACCCGAAGGGGAAGGGCCCCCACCACATTTTACCAGAAAGTCTTATGTTCCCGCTGAGAAACGACTATTCTCGACCAGCACGAGTGAAAAGCACACACCTGAATACCAACCTTTCGGGAGGGGGGGGGGGCTAAGGCTTGTGAAGCAGTTGGTTCGGACCAACCATCCCGGAGCAGTTGCCACACTTTGCAGAGGATGTGGGCCCATTCCCAAAAAGACACAATTTGGGCCAAGGAAATTTCGCCTGCACGCCCCACTTGGGCGTGTCTTGTTTGGAGGGCACCCTTTTCAGGCCGGTTCCTTTTGGGGGATCCAAAAGGAAACAAATCAAAATTGGCGGCTCCCCAATTTGGAGAAACATCCATTTCTCCAGGGGTAACTTCCCCATCCTTTCCAGGGATCCTTCTTTCTAGGAAACCACCAAACACCCTGGGGAAATGGCTGGTTTCTGAAAAGAACGATGGCTGAAAAGAATGGGGAATCAACGTCTAGAATTTCGCTCGGGTCACGTTGGCCCAGTCTGAAGCTCCGCAAGCAGTCGCCAGGCTGACGAAGACTCGGGCGCAGCTGCTCCATGAAAAGTCGCAGGCCGGGCGCCAAGGAGAGTTCGTTCCACCCCGACCCAAAAGGGGTCCGACGTCCCCCCAAACGGAGATGCCTCGGGAGAATCATGTTGTTTTTTGGCCAAGTCTAGTGAAAACAAATCCAAAACAAGGCTCTTCGATGATTTGTGGCCGCAGACGGTAGCAACAGCAACGGAATCTGGCAGTCGGAGCATTGGATTTGCTGAATCTGGATGCAAGCTGCCCAATTGCGAGGGATTATTTTGGGCCCAGCCGCAGCTTGGCAATGAATGTTCATGGGGCACACCGAGGTCGAGCTCTATATTTGTACACATTCTCATGTCCCATCTTTAAAGTTTTGCACGCAGCCGCAGCGGGGTAAACTCCACGGACCCGATCCGAGCTGAAGGCTCGGGCGAAGACCTGGAGCAACACCTTAGAGGGCAGCCGCCGAAAGAAGGCGGAGGAGAAGAGGCGCGGGCTGTCTGGCTGTTGGGCTCACTGCCCGTTTTGTGGCTCGTTTTAAAGGAGAAACCCAGGAGGAAGCTGCATGGAAGGAAAGACACCCACGTTGACGATCTGTTTTGTTTTGGGAGTTTGCTCTCTCTTTGGCGATCTGTTTTAATGGAAAGATACAAGGAAGCTACGCGTTTTCGATCATTTGTGCGAGGGGATGTCCCAGGTTAAGGAGACAACCCCCCCCCCTCCTGTGTGTGTGTGTGTGTGTGCGTGGGCGCGCGTGTGTGTGTGTGTGTGCGGAGTGACAGAATGCCCTGTCACCACCTTTTCCGATTCTCAGCAGGGGGCGCAGGGAGTTTCAGCGAGTCCTGCGCCAACGAAGACGCTCGCTGTTAACTCGTGATATCCAGCCTGATCAGCTGGACGTACCTGCAATTGTGATGTTTGTGAATGTCCTTTTGGTCCCCCCCCCTGAACTGCCGTTGCTTCTGTGTGTCCCTGTTAAAGTAGCTACAGGGAAGCCAAGCGTTATGCGAGTCGAAGCTCATCATACTCGAGACTCATCAGTTGTACTCGAGACTCATCAGTTGACTCATCAGTTGTACTCGAATGATTAGCACTCTCCATTTGGAGTTTAAGTGTGTACACCCCATTCGTGGGGAATCCTCGGGTGTACCCATTGTGTGACCCCGGGCCGGCTCTGTCGGAAAATTTGACCTCAACGTGCTGATCATAGAACGGCGGAATTTCACATTTAACCAGGAACGAGGTTTCACTAAAGGGAAGACAGCGGTCAGATCATAGCGACGTCTCACCCTTCTTTTTCTCGCCTTCTTCATCCGCGTGCCCGTCTTCTGGTCCTTCGCCCGCTTAGGGATGGCTTCTCCTTCCTCCCGTTCTCTTTTCGCTGCCTTTCGTGACCCGCGCGTTCGTCCCGCTCCTGTTCGCCCGCTTAGGGATGGCCTGGTTGTCCTCGCGTTGTTCACCTTTTTCCTCGTCTTCGTCTTCGCGTCTGTCTTCCTGTTCCTACTCCTCTTCTTCCTCACGTAGTTTGGCTTGACGTCTTCTTCCCCTTCCGTTGCTACTTCGGGTCCGTCCTCTTGGCCCCTGTGTGGGATTCGACGTCTTTCTCCGCGAGCCTTGGTCTTCATCCTCTGTTCCTGTCTGGGCGGGATGCGTCGCCCTAAAAACGCATACTACTACTTCCCTCTTCCTCTTCCTTCTTCCTTCTTCCTTCTTTTCTCCTTTTTGTCTCCTTGCCTTTTGCTTCTTGTTCCTTCTTCCCGGGCGGGATGCGGCGCCCTAAATACGCACCCTGCTCCTTTCTTTTTTCCCCCGGGCGGTTGCGACGCCCTAAATACGCTTCTGTCTCTCTCTCTCTTTCTCTCTCTTTTCTGTGTCTGTCTCTCTCTCTCTCTTTCTTTCTCTCTTTCGTCCCTTTCTTTCTTCCCTTTCTTTTTCTTTCCCTCTCTGGGCTATTTCTTGTACTTCCTGTTCGCCCGGTTAGGGATGGCCTGCTCCTCTTCTGCCTCTTTGCCTTCGCGGCCCCTTTCGTCTACAAGGTCTAGGTCGTTTTTGCGCTGGTTGGGGTTGTTGCCCTCGGAGACCCGAAACCTGGCTTCCCCGTTGTTCTTGTTTCTTGTTTGGGGTTTTGCCCGCGGAGACCCAACTTGGGGCCTTTCTGTTTCTTTTGGGCTCCCTTGCTCCGTTTGTTTTCTGTTGGGGTCTTCGCCCGGTTTTGGGGCGCGTGGTTTTTTCTCCCCCCGAAAAAGTGGTTCTCGCCCCTCATTGAGGGGCGTGTGTGTGCGGAGTGACAGAATGCCCTGTCACCACCTTTTCCGATTTCAGCAGGGGGCGCAGGGAGTTTCAGCGAGTCCTGCGCCAACGAAGACGCTCGCTGTTAACTCGTGATATCCAGCCTGATCAGCTGGACGTACCTGCAATTGTGATGTTTGTGAATGTCCTTTTGGTCCCCCCCCCTGAACGCCGTTGCTTCTGTGTGTCCCTGTTAAAGTACTACAGGGAAGCCAAGCGTTATGCGAGTCGAAGCTCATCATACTCGAGACTCATCAGTTGTACTCGAGACTCATCAGTTGTACTCGAAAGATTAGCACTCTCCATTTGGAGTTTAAGTGTGTACACCCCATTCGTGGGGAATCCTCGGGTGTACCCATTGTGTGACCCCGGGCCGGCTCTGTCGGAAAATTTGACCTCAGCGTGCTGATCATAGAACGGCGGAATTTCACATTTAACCAGGAACGAGGTTTCACTAAAGGAAAGACAGCGGTCAGATCATAGCGACGTCTCACCCTACGTTCCTTTTTTCTCGCCTTCTTCATCCGCGTGCCCGTCTTCTGGTCCTTCGCCCGCTTAGGGATGGCTTCTCCTTCCTCCCGTTCTCTTTTCGCTGCCTTTCGTGACCCGCGCGTTCGTCCCGCTCCTGTTCGCCCGCTTAGGGATGGCCTGGTTGTCCTCGCGTTGTTCACCTTTTTCCTCGTCTTCGTCTTCGCGTCTGTCTTCCTGTTCCTACTCCTCTTCTTCCTCACGTAGTTTGGCTTGACGTCTTCTTCCCCTTCCGTTGCTACTTCGGGTCCGTCCTCTTGGCCCCTGTGTGGGATTCGACGTCTTTCTCCGCGAGCCTTGGTCTTCATCCTCTGCTCCTATCTGGGCGGGACGCGTCGCCCTAAAAACGCATACTACTACATCCCTCTTCCTCTTCCTTCTTCCTTCTTCTTTCTTTTCTCCTTTTTGTCTCCTTGCCTTTTGCTTCTTGTTCCTTCTTCCCGGGCGGGATGCGGCGCCATAAATACGCACCCTGCTCCTTTCTTTTTTCCCCCGGGCGGTTGCGACGCCCTAAATACGCTTCTGTCTCTCTCTCTCTCTTTCTCTCTCTTTTTTTGTGTCTGTCTCTCTCTCTCTCTCTCTCTTTCTTTCTCTCTTTCGTCCCTTTCTTTCTTCCCTTTCTTTTTCTTTCCCTCTCTGGGCTATTTCTTGTACTTCCTGTTCGCCCGGTTAGGGATGGCCTGCTCCTCTTCTGCCTCTTTGCCTTCGCGGCCCCTTTCGTCTACAAGGTCTAGGTCGTTTTTGCGCTGGTTGGGGTTGTTGCCCTCGGAGACCCGAAACCTGGCTTCCCCGTTGTTCTTGTTTCTTGTTTGGGGTTTTGCCCGCGGAGACCCAACCTGGGGCCTTTCTGTTTCTTTTGGGCTCCCTTGCTCCGTTTGTTTTCTGTTGGGGTCTTCGCCCGGTTTTGGGGCGCGTGGTTTTTTCTCCCCCCGAAAAAGTGGTTCTCGCCCCTCATTGAGGGGCGTGTGTGTGCGGAGTGACAGAATGCCCTGTCACCACCTTTTCCGATTCTCAGCAGGGGGCGCAGGGAGTTTCAGCGAGTCCTGCGCCAACGAAGACGCTCGCTGTTAACTCGTGATATCCAGCCTGATCAGCTGGACGTACCTGCAATTGTGATGTTTGTGAATGTCCTTTTGGTCCCCCCCCTGAACTGCCGTTGCTTCTGTGTGTCCCTGTTAAAGTAGCTACAGGGAAGCCAAGCGTTATGCGAGTCGAAGCTCATCATACTCGAGACTCATCAGTTGTACTCGAGACTCATCAGTTGTACTCGAATGATTAGCACTCTCCATTTGGAGTTTAAGTGTGTGTGGGGTGGCTGATTTGGGTAAAGCTCTCCTGGATGTTTGTTTGTGCTTCTCTTTGCGCTGTTGCCTGAATTGGCCCCACCGCGCCGCCGGAGTTTGTGACCGAAAGCCCAGGAAGACTCACTTAAGGAGTCCATTTCAGGTGTGTGTGTGAGGTCTGATTGATTCTGTTAAACGTAAGGGACAATGTCACCTTTTGTATGCATTTCGGGTATTATAGGGAAAACCAAAAGACACCGGTTGCTCTTTGTCCCCAGAACCCATCTTCGAATGGATGGTTTGGAGGTTCCATGTTACGCACTTGGGGTGGTACTTGCTCGTTTGGCCTAGGTTTTGTCGGGACTTTCCACGGCCGATGGCATTAGCCCCTGCGCCCCGTTGAGCGACCCACGCCAACGTTGATGCCAGGAAGAAGTTTGAAATGGAAGAGCTGGAGCGGCAGAAGGCCTTGGATGGTACGATGCTGTTGTATGCACACATGCACATCTTTTCACGGCTTCTTTGACGCGGCTGTGGCCGTCATTGCTTTTTGTTGCACATTTGGAAATGCAAAGTGCCCCCCTACTTTCGGTGGGGCGAGCACCAACGGGGAGGTGTTGCTGAGATAGGATGGCTCCACCAGAAGCTTGGGTTCAAGTTGACCAACTTGAGACTCCGCAGAGCGTGCGCTCCGTGCGGCTCCAATCAGACTTCAAGAACTGGACCTGAGCTTGATACCTGAGCTGCCAGGAATTTGGCTGAGCATCCCCTGCTCCCCTTTTCAAGGAACTCGGTGAGCTCTCCCCTGTAGGCACCTCTTAGGCCCTTTTTGAGTGACCCTGGAATTGGGGGAGGGGGTGACTGGAATTGCATTCACTTTTGTGGTGTGCTCCTCATCGAGGGTTGGTGGGTGGGGTGGGTGGGTGGTGACTGGCCATGTGCTTAAACCGCCACCCCCTGGTCCACGTCCTGACAAGAGAAGCCCAAAGGGGTTGTTTAAAGAACAGTGTTTAAGTATCGATCATCTTTCAATCATGTTTAGGTTAAATACCCCTCAAGCATCACTCCACCAATTTGTTTAATGCCCCGGAGAAGGTGATGGTTAACACCACCAGGGGAAATATTGGGAAACCCATCAGCCGTTTTTTCCATCATCCTCCAAAAGAGGATATGGCGGAACGTAGTCAACCATTTGTCCAACATGAATGTGGGTCAAAATTAAACAACCAGGAACCCGCAGATTTTAGTCCTATCCATTCACGGGTTCTATTTTGGGTACCCATTTTTGACCCACAGCCGCATGGCTTAAAAACCACCCAGCGCTCGGCTCGTCTCGCGCGCAGGTGGACGCGGAGGAGGCCAAGATCCAGCTGGACCAGCGGCGGGCCACCATTGACCGCCTGGACCCAGGTGGCCTCTAGGGGTTCCAGTTGCCCCAGCAAGGTTCCCTTTTACCGTTTCTTGTTTGGGGCAGGGTTCTCCTACTAAAATGGACTACAGAAAAAAGGGTACCCTTATTCTAACCCCTCTACTGGAGGACCTGGGGTTTGCTGGAAAATTGGGATATCTCTTTTTACCTAGAGATCCCCTGTTGAAGTCTCAAACTGCCCGTCGCGAGTTTGCGCACCAGCTTTCAAGACTTAGACGGATCTTGAGCAAGGCCACAGCTCATGCCAGCTGTCCTGTTCAATAATCATCTCCAATGAGATCACATGGGATCCTTTTACTTGGTTAAGTTCTATGCCAGCTGTCCTGTTCAATAATCATCTCCAATGAGATCACATAAGATCCTTTTACTTGGTTAAGTTCTAGTTAGAGAGGAGTAGGTTACCTTTTGGCATGTTTGCCCGGTTTTTCGTGGTTCCCCCTTACCCAGTATGGTAGCTGGAAGCACTGGATGATTTTTGAAGGTACACCAAATGCGGGCCAGAATCTGCACCTACTACCTACTGTAGCAAAGGTGAGCCACTGTTTACAGGGTCTGGAGAAGGTTTTGGGCCATTTGCGGCACCGGAAGGCATGGTGTGGATAATCCTTGTGTCCAAGCCCAATGACAGACTCGGTCTGTGACCCACGGTTTCCTTATCCCGGTGAAGGGGCCCATGCCCATGCAGTCTTCTCCACGAGGAGCATGTGTGCAAGTTTGACTCAAGCTCAGGGAGCATAGGGCCGGTTTCCGCTGGCCAGACTCGGGTCGATGGCCACGTATCCAGCTGACTGCCTGGCATGATGGCCAATGATATAACGACCTCAAGGCTATAAGCAAGCGTGGCATGACTGAAAGGCTGCCAGGCAAAAGCAAAAAGCGCATGCGTTTCGAGTGTGTGTGTGTGTGTGCTGCTGGGCAGGGGGTCGTCTGTGCACTCGGATTTTGGTCGTGCGGGCACGCTTTTTTAGCGAAGCGGTTGTTTGTGCACTCGCCGAGCAAAAACAAATAAAGAACAGAGAAAAATACTCACGTTCGCCCCCACCCCCACCCCCACCCCACCATCATCTCACTGCATTTCAAAAGCCCCACCAGCGCGACCCCACTTCGCATCCCCACAAACGCCCTGATCCTGACTTCATCTCACTGCGTCCCAACAAAAGTGGTCACAACGCGATCAGCCTGAGTGCGCACTTGAGCAGGTGAATGCGCAGACTTGAGTGGGTGAGTGCGCAGATGACCGGAATCTGAGTGCGCAGATGCCCCCCTGCCCGTGCTGCTGGGCTGTAGCCGCGCCTTTTTCTGTGCTGGGACATCTCCTGCCGGAGCTCAGCTTCCAAATCGCGCGCCGATCAGAGAGCTCAGCTCAGGCGCCAACAAGTTGCTGTACGAGGAGCCCGGGCGCTCAAACAGCAGGTGGCCAGAAGCTTTGGGGCATGCGCAGGATCAGTTGGCTTCTCTCAGGGGTCCCTAGATTTCCATGTTTGGTGGGTGTAAACAGCCCATTAAAGGTGAATTCCCTTGGTAGGGGTGATGTTTTAAGAGAGAACATAGGGAACCCTGTTTTTTTGGCAGTCCCTGATTCTCCACTGTGGTCTATGTCCTCGTTGGCGGTTGTCCGGTGCTATGGATCCTGATCGTAAGCGGCGTGACCCCGTTGTTTCGGCGGCAGGGTCCAAACTGGAGCCATTTTTGTGGCGCGAATTGAAGCACGAAAGCATTCCATTCTTCCATCCGCCTCTACGCTCCTTCACTTCAGCTCAACCTGCTAAAGGGACTCGGAGCTTGCAGTTGCAGTGTTTCACTTTGATTCTGACACACTTAGGGCTTGGACTCAAGGGACAAAATGTTATTTGAGGTGCTTCACTCGGTTTGTTGGCTTCTGAGCAACAAGCGGTGTGCTGGCAAGTGGCGCTACGAAGCCAAGTTGTCCATGACATACTTGAGCAAAGGGCCCCTATGGCCTATGTGTATTTGTAGACCCGCGCAAAATGGGAGCGCTAGGCTGGCTAACACTCTTGCGCCGTCCAAGGTCCGATCGCATCAAGTCCTTCCATAGTAAGATGATGCTTTGCGATGTGATTGCCGAGCGGGAGGCTGGATTTCAGACATGCAAGAAGCATGTGTGGCCCACTTCTCCCAGTGCTCCCAACAATGAAACTCTCCGGGGTAACCTGACCTGTTTCAGGTTGCGCTGCACCTCCCAACAAGTTGCACTGTATGCCTAAGGTGTGGACCCTTCCAACCGGCGAGCGGTGTTCCTTTGGGCTTGTCAAACCCACTGTGACACATGTCCTTTCGAAGCACACCCTTGAGTCTTAATAGGGGCCAGTTGTTTCTTTTACCAATTGTTTAACTACTGTTCTCCAGTGAGGGAATAACCCCTATACAAACAATCCCTTGTGGTTTCCTTCTGGGCACCCCTGACTTCATTCCCAACACGCTGGGTCATTCCCACTGAGCACCTGCAAGTTTGGTTTCTATCATTCTACTGCGCAGCAGTCCGTGGGCAAATCGACCCATTCACAGATCCGAAGGCGCAGACGTCCCTGAAGGGTGAGCTGAAAAAGCCGCGGCCCCGGGCGCGAGATGCGCGGGGGGATCACCGACCGATTAAAGGCGATTTCCCCCATACGCCAGAATTTATTACATAAGTACATAGACAGATGGATTGATAGATAGATATCTTAGATAGATAGATACATACATAGATAGATACACACGTAAATAGATAGATACATACGTAAATAGATAGATAGACAAACAGATAGATAGATAGATCGATCGATCGATCGATCGATCGATCGATCGATACATATTTACATAGATAGATAGATAGATAGATAGATAGATAGATATATGGATAGATGGATAGATAGATAGATATAGATAGATAGATATAGATGGATCGATACATATTTGGATAGATAGATAGATAGATGGATGGATAGATGGATAGACACATAGATACATAGATACATAGATACATACACACATACACACATACATACATAGATAGATAGATACATACGTACATGCATGCATACATACACGCATGCATATACACCAATACATACACGCATGCATACATACTTACATACATATGAATACATACGATACATACATACCAATAGAACACAATACAATACACTTCACTGCAGTACCATACCATACCACACTATACCACACTATACTTTACTATACTATGCCATACTATTCTGTACTAGACTATACTATGCTATACTATACTATACTATACTATACTATACATACAGTTACATACATTTTAAAAAAAGACACACTACACACACATGCCAATACATACATACCAACGCATGCATACCAATACATACATACCCATACATTCATACATATACATACATTTACATTACATTACATTACATTGCATTGCATTGCATTGCACACACACAGATGGACACATGCACACCTGCGCTCAAAAATACATACGCGCATATACACATATGCACAGAGACACATAGATACATCGCACATACACACATACACACGTACACACATACACACATAGAGACATAGATAGATAGATAGATGGATGGATGGATAGATAGAGAGAGAGAGAGAGATGCATAGATACATAGACACATAGACATATAGACAGAACTATATAGATACATGAATACACAAATACATGCATCAAGTATGTATTTGTATATGTGTGTGTGTGCATGTAAACGTTGGTTTTGGTTTCAGTGTTTGGTCGGCTTCGCAAAATCTGGGGGGCTCCCGCCCAAGGCTCGAGCAGATCCGTGAGGATCGATTTCTGGAGATGGAGAAGCAGACGCTCGGTGTGGCATCGGGGTCTTTGACCCAACAGACTCAAGAGGGTGGTCTTCTTGACTTTTCTTCAAATCAATCTTCAAAGGGGGCCAAAAGGGTAGTCTTCCTGTAGATTTGCCTTTAGCAATGTGATAACTATACCTGCCGCATTTTTGCTTTGACATCGCAGGGTAGAAGCCCGCTGCACCCAAGCTTCCAATGCTAAAGGCGGATTTTGCTTAACAAAAACACCCTACCGGGTTTTCTACGCGGAGTTGCAAGATTTGGGGAACCAATGGCCTAGATCCAGGCTGAGCTCGGGGGAGGGCCGCTGTTGGGCTCCGTTTTTGAGCGCACGCCGAAGACTCGACTGGTTGCCCGGCGGGCGTCTTGCCGAGGGCGGAGTGTTGGTTTGTACAATATACATTTGATGGGCAAAATCCCGCACCACCTAGGATGGATGAAATCCTACAAATATTGGGATAAATCACCTACCAGCTGGTGGGGCGGGGGGTTGTCCATCAATGGTAGGCGAGTTAAAAGGGTGGCCATGTGCGACAGATGCACTCAAAAGCTTTCAACATGGCAAGACGTTGCACCCAAGGAACTACAGAAAGATGCTGGAGCGCGAGATGAAGGCATGGCTGTGATTGGTCAAGATGACTAGGGAAGGTTTGTCAACGTGTCAGGCCCGTCCGTGTAGACTCTTGTATTGGGAAAAATGGTAGGACGCCTTTGGAGATGGAGATGTAACGTGTAACGCCACGCCCCAAAAGAGGCACACGGAACAAGTTGCAATGTGCGCACAACAGCTATGACCTGCTTATCCTCCCCGATCCCAATGTAGCTGTCGTTGAGCACGTGCTGGGGATCGGGTGCTCTTCATAGGCGGGCCCGGGCTTCAATTTCTTTCATGTCCTGTTGGCTGTCCTTGAGATTATGACTCTGCGCGTCTGAACTGGCGACGGCTTTTGGGACCGCCCAATCATCACATTGGTGGCCCCTTTTTTCGTGCCGCCCCGTCAAGGGGTCAACAGGTATTGACACATGCTCCATACTCTAAGAAGATTACATTGGCAGAATTACCCATTCTGGGTCAATTTTAGATTGAACCATTCGGGGTCATTTGCCGTGTGATCTTGGGAATTCGGATTAGTAGGGGTCAACATAGTCGCGAAACCAGGCCGTGGTTTCCATTGAGAGCCTGAGTTGGCCGCTCCCTAATCATCCACTGGAGGTTCCTTCCTTCAGTCCCAAACCCCCTTGACAAAACACAATGATGACATCCCCTTGCAACTGGTGGTTTGTATTGGTGGCTTTACAGGTCAGGGGCTTCTCATTTGAACCTTTGGCCTCGATTTTGAGCAGAACGAGTTGCCTTAGCGCTGAAGAGGTGGCCCCGACCTCCCTGAGACACGCAACCAAGATGTGGCCAGGAGAAGGAGACCAAGGAGGAGCTCTCCAAGATCGCGGCCCGTGCCCAGAAGGACGTGGATGGGTCGGGCTTGGAGCCAGCATGGCCCTCTTGTTTATCTCTTTTTTTTTGGGGGGGGGCGGGGGGTAGGAGGCGGGGGTAGGAGGCGGGGGTAGGAGGCGGGGGGGGGGGGGCAGAGGTAGGAGGGAGGGGGGGGGGCGGTTTTAAACATCACCTCTTTGGCTCTCGGCTGTGTCATGGTGACCCGGGACCAGTCGCTTCGTGCCACCCTTGCGGCCCTGTCGGATGCTGCGCTCGGCAGCATTAGCTCCGTGCTGGAGGAGGGGATCTTCTTCCCTGGTGTCCATGGTGAGGATTGGGGTGGTTCTCACCATTTGGAGTTCGAGGTCCTCCAGGAAACCCAGCCTGGAGAGTGGAGTGCTCAGGTCATCCAGGCGCCGCTGCCTTTCGACCTGAATCCCACCCCACTTCCTGCGGCCAGGCTCCAGACCTTCCTCCTCCGTGCCCCCCTCGAGTTTCGAGAGCCTGCTCGGGTTTTTCGTGCCCTCAATGTCACTCTGCACCCTGGGATGCCCCTGGTTGCCTCTTTGCACGAGGCCACTCCTGTTTGGGCGGTCCCTATTCCGCTCTTGCGCCACCCACTTGCGGTTGTGCACCTGTTTGCTGGAGGGTTCCGTGGGTGGACCCAGGCCTTGCGCACGTTGGCTAGGCAGCATGATTTCTCTGTTGAAACTGAGGTTCGTGTGGATGTGGATGATGAGGCCATCTGTACCTCTGTGCACACTGATGCTGGTAGTGTGTGCCGCAACCCTGCCTTCCTCCGCGCCTGGCATGTCAAGCCACAGTCCCTTTCCATCCAGGCGGACGTCGCCGACCCGGCCATCCTGAATGCTGTCTCGCGCTTTGGATCGGCTTTGGTTACGGCCTCCCCACCGTGTCCGCCATGGTCCCGTGCTAGGACGGGCTCTTCGCCTTGGATAGCGAAGCGGGACAGGCCTTCCTGGACCTGTTTTTGTTCTTGCGCCGTGTCTCTCCCCTTGGAGTTGCGCTTGAATGTGTGGACATGCTCCCCCGGCACCCGCACTTCCGGATCTTGCAGGCTCTTGCTGTGTGGGCAGGATATGTGTTCCACTTGCACGAGCATGCCGGCTTTGCTGGTGCCAAGCGGCTTCGGTGGTTGGCCCTTCTGCTGCGCAGTGATTGCCCCTACGTTCCCTGCTCCTGCGGTCCCGCCTCCAATCCCACGCCCCATCCCATGGACGGATCCGTCGTTCAACTTTGGCTTGCCGGAGGCCCTTGCTGCCCAGCTCTATTTGACGGACCAGCAGCGACTTGTCCTGTCAAACCCGGCGTTGCTCCCGGCGTCGTTCCAGCCATCCAGTGGAGCTCTCCTCCCTCCCGATGAGGTTCTTGCTTTGCGCATTGCCGAACCTGCCGCGCCGCTGCGTACCTTGTGTGCCCAGTACACCAACCAGCACAATCTCGCCCGTGGGGCTGTTGAGGAGCGTGGCATCTTTGCGCAGATAGTGATGCGGCATGGTATCCCTAGTTTCATGTCCCCTCTCCTGTGGCTTGGGTTGCTGGGCGCAACTGAACCCCTCGTGCTCCCCGTCGAGGTTACGCCCCTGTTCCGGCTTCTGGGTAACTCCATCAGCGTCCCGCATGCTGCCCTTCCGCTTGCGATCTTCTTTATCATTGTGGGGTGGGTGGGTCTGACCCCCCTGGATGCGGTTGATCGTGTTTGGGATGCTCGCTTGCGCCCGGGACAGGTGTATGTCCAGGTCGTCCGGAACCGACTCAGCTTTAACGGTCTTGCGGACCTCCTTCGGTTTGCGGTCCGAGACATGCACGAGATCCGCTGGCGATGAGCACACTGGCGTCCTGCTGGGCTATACGTGGTGCCCTCTTCGGCTTGGTGTGACAAGTGCTGGGCGTCTTCGCTGTCATCTTGTGCTTGATTCCTCCAACGTGATTGCTGTTGTCTTTCATGCCAACGCTACGGTTGCGCTTCTCCTCATTGCTCTGCGCATCCCCTATGAGGTGATCCCCCATATCATGCTCGTCAACCATGCGGGAGCACACGCCCACACTCAGCCTGCGGCCCCATTGTCGGGCACCTCGGCCTTGATCGTCCCCGCCCAGCCTACCCATCCGGCTGGGCTCCCCGTCCCACCGCCTCCCCTTGCAGTCGGCCAGGACGTCGTCCTTCGCATTGTCGACCCGTTCAACCGGGTCCATGAGGTCTCTGCGCCGGCCAATGCTACTGTGGGAGATTGTCTGGTCTCTGTCACTGCCGGATCCTCTTTTATACCTCAACCAGGCTCCCGTTGACTTTGACACAACTGCTGATCTCTATGCCGAGGAGGACTTGGTTCTCAGGCTGAGATGACTGACATTTACTCTGATGAGCGGATGTTGGCCCCCCTGGCCTTGGCCACGCTGACCCCTGGCTGGTCTCAGATCCTTGGTCATCCGACCCGCCGTCGCGCAAGCTTGCCAAGTGGGAGGATTTGACCCTGCCCTCTGACCACTTCTTTGTCTATGATGACCCGTCAGAGGACCTCCCGGTCCCTCGGGTCACTCCCAAGCAACTGCTGGGTCCCCACCTTGGGGGCATTTCCTTCGTTACGCGGGCCAGCCTTGCGGAGGTTGTACGTACTACGGCCGTTATGCCCACTGTGTTGCTGTGCCCGGGAGCTGCCCCCCTCAACCCCCCTCCGCTCCCCTCTGATGCTGTTGTTGAGGGACCCATCCAACTGACGCTGTGCGACCCACAGGCCAAGCAGGAGTACCAGCGGGTTGTGTTTCTGATCCATCTCTGCCCTGGCATTGCCTACCGCCCTGCGGCCAGCATCACTACCATCGTCGATGTGTCCGAGTATGTTGAGCTTGTTGTTGAGAGGTATCAAGCCTTGCTCCCAGAGGTCGAATGGACCCAGGCTGAAGCTGGTGGCATTTCGGTCGCCAAGGCCTATGCCCATCGACTCCTCAGGGACTCCCCAGGGCCTTGGCAAAGTGGTACAGTTCATTATCAAAACCCCGGCGGCCATGCGTCTCTCTGCCCTCCGCTTTTCCGGAGCCTCCCTCTGGTTTGTTCGCGATTATCTGGCCTATGCCTGTCGTTTGGTTCCTCCATGTCTTTGTGGCCTGTAGCGCCTCTGGCGCTTCAGCTTTCGACTCCACGTTGGGTTTTCCGGGTGCCGGCCCCTTCATCCTTGAATCTCACAACATTGGCAGTTTGCACTCGCACCCGGAGGTCTTGTCCTCTGTCGGTCAAACGCTGTGTCTTCAGGAGACCCGGATCTCTGATGCCAATGTTCGTACTTTAACCTTCCAGGCCAATCGGAAGGGCCTGTCTCTTCTGCCTGGCCCCCTCCTGGCCCATTCTCAGGATGCCAGGGGGGCGCTGCGTGCTGATTGGCGTTGCAGCTCTTTCACAAAATTGTGCTGTGCGTGCGTTGGATCTGGAGGCCGACCACAGTGGCCTCTTGCCCCAGCTGCTTGCAACCGGCAGAATTCAAGTTTTTTGGATTGCCTTTGGCGGTGTTCATGCCCTGTGTGTCAACTACAACGCGTCGACTCGGGCTGCCAGGAGTGAAGTCCTTTTCGAGAACAATCGCACCCTTACGTCTGTCTTTGAGCTTCTCGCTCAATTCCCTGGTGTCCCGCACCTCATTTGTGCTGATTTTCAGGCGATCCCTGCTGAATATCCGGCTGTTGCTGCTGCGTTCGCGACAGGGCGGTGGTTGGACCCCCTGGATCAGGTTGATGAGCAGGGCGCTTCGGTTCGCCCCCCTACCTTTTGCCGGGACTCCGCCTGGCCTGCGGAAGCCCCTGTCACCAGCCGTCCTCCTGAACGACGTAGCGTGGAGGTCGCTCAGTGCGTGCCGTCTTGATGATTGTGCGGGCTTCCAACATGCGGCCCTTCACTTGGAGTTTGCCTGGGATGCGGAGATACCTGTGGCTCCTCGCTGGGAGCACTATGCCCTTTTGCACCTTCATGCCTTACAGTCCTCGGATGATAGGCAGCGCATCGCTGATGATCTCTGGAATACGACCTTTGCTTGCCGGTTGCACCCCCGCTCTACTGCCGACGAGCTGCTAACCCTTTTCCACGACTTGTCGATTGCTACCCTTACTGCTGCGGGTGCTACCTGGAGCCATGGGCCCCGTACCAGGGGTACGCTCCCTGTACTTGTGGCCTCCCCTGTCACGAAGAAAGCCTCTCGGGAGGCTGCCAGGGACGCTGGGCCAAGCTCTTGCGCCTCGTTCGTGAGCTTGATCACCGGTTGCCTCGTTTTGCCACTGCTTCCGCGGGTGATGCTGCTGCCACACGCTCCGTTTTGGCCAAGGCCCGTCGGCTTGCGCGCGAGCTCCGTCTTCGCGTGGGCCAGTGGCTTGCTGCCCCTGAGCTGCTCCCAGACTTGCACAAGGCCATCCGGGCCGCATGGCACTTGGAGGTTGACCGCCGGAAGCAGGCTGCCATTCGGGCCTGGCGTTTGCGCATCGCTGGTAGTGCTGGTGGTAAGGGCAAGGAGGTCTTTGCCCATCTGCGTGCTCAGGGCCCTTTGCCCCGGTCTAATGTTATCACTGATCAGGACAATCGGCCTTTGCACTCTCCTGCCCGAGCCCTCTCCTTTGCGGCGGACCAGTGGAATGGCATCTTTAGGTGCCACGATCCCCCCCCCCGTTGACCGCCCGCTGCTTGAGGCCCGTGCCCTTCCCTGCCATGTCCCTCACATCACTGCGGAGCACCTTGCGGCCTTTGGCTGCCGCCGGGCTTGATGGCTGGACTACTCCTGAGCTCCAGGCTCTCCCCATTCAGTGCTTTGAGCCTCTTGCTGAGCTCCTTCGCAGGGTTGAGAACGGCCAGTGCCAACTTCCGCGTATTTTGGCAACGGCGCGTCTTGCTGTCCTCAACAAGGGTGATTCGGACAAGCCGCTGTCCAAGCGGCTCATTGCGGTTCTCCCGGCCCCCTACATCTTGTGGAGTAGTACTCGGTTTGCGCACACGGCTGAGTGGCAGCAGCGGGTCTTCCCTGCTGCCTTGTCTGGCGGCATCAAGGGCCGCCAGTCCCGGGACGTCACGCACACCCTTGCCCTCATTCATCACGAGTGTCACGCTACGGCTACCCCCTTTGCGGGTGTGCAAGTTGACCTGGGTTTCCCTCGGAAGATCCTTCGCTTGTGGACCTCGATGACTGACCAGCTGACGCGCTACCTGACGTCGCAGGGCAGCGTTCATCCTGCCCCTCTCACCAACCGCAATGGCATCCCCCAGAGATGCTCTCTCAGCATTTTGGCCATCAATGGCATTATGGCTGGTTGGTCACTTGTGGTGCAGCAGGCGCCGGGCGTGCGCCCTTTTGCTTTCATTGATGATACCTACTTGATTACTCAGGAGGCCCCGGATCTTGGGCAGTTGCCGGTTGCCTTTCAGGTTTCTCAGCTTGCTGATGCGGTGCTGGGTCAAATTTCCAACCCTGCCAAGTGTGGGTGGTGGGTAAGTGATGACCGCCATGCCCCTCCCCTGGCCCTCTCCTTTGAGGGCATGCCTTGCCTTCAAGTACTGCGCCCCCTGGGTGTCACCATCCACCTCAACCAGCGTGGTACTCCGGGTGCGCTGGACCGTTTCCGGCACCCTTCCGGTCCCTCCCAAGGTCAAGGCTCGCTATGTCGCCTCTAAGGCCATCTCAATCCTTGCTTACGCCCCGGAACTCAACGTTGTCCCGGGGAGTGCTGGACACCCTGTGTGCTCGTGTTGCCAAGACCTTGTGGGGCAAACGGCCGCATTGGCGTCATCGTGATCTCCTCCTTACCGTTGTGTATCCGGCTCATCTCGCCCATCCGGTTTTTGCGCTGGCCATCCGGGTCATCTCCAATGTGGTTGCCTCCGTGCAACAGGTCCCGGAGTTGTCTCTCCTATGGTCTTTGGCGTTCACCAATGTCCGCCGCCCTCGTGCCGCTCTCCCCGCCCACTTTGAGCATCTCGGTTTCCAGGCCCCTGACGCTCTGTCTGTCCTCCCGGGCTTGTCCTTTTCCCTCAAGCACACCCCTCGCCGGCTCCTTGTCCGGCTGCTCCGTTGCGTGTGCCTCTGATCGGAAGGACATTGTGTGCGGTCCCGCTAAATTCCTGCATATCCATTTGACGGCGATCCCCTGGCGCCTTCCCCCGCGTGGCGCGTGGCGGGCCTTTGCTCGTGCTTTTCCCCTTGATCCGGCGGTTGCCGAGGCGGTCGTTACTGGGTCCGCCCTCACGGCGGACCGGCTTTTCCGTGCCGGGTTTGCGGACTCTCCCCAATGCCGCTTCTGCAGCTGGACCATTGAGACTTTGCAGCACCTCGTTGAGTGCCCCATTGTCGCTTCCTCCCTTGGACACCCGCCCCCCCTCCCGCCTGGACAGGGCCCGGCCTTTGCTACCCATGCCTTGGTCGAGCTCTCTCCTGCCTTGCTCGGATGGCTTGTACATAGGAGTGCCCCTAGCCCGCTGTGTCAGGTTCACCAAGCAGTTGTTCCGCGCCATGGCTCTGTTGAACTCTGGACGGATGGCTCAGCCTTTGACTGCACCCATCCTCTCTGTGCGGTTACAGCCTATGCGGTTGTCGATGCCGGCCGACGCACGCTTGCTGCTGGGGAGGTTCGTGGGGCTTTCGCCAACAACTATGTGGCGGAGATTGCGGCGATTGTGATGGCCGTGCATTGCGCAGTTTCTTCTGTATGCATCTACACTGATTGCAACGCTGCGGTACAGGTGTGGCAGTCTATGCGGATGTCCCAGACGGTCCCTTCACATGCTGCGGCGGCTGACTTGTGGACCCTTTTCTGGGAGATCGTGCGCCACAAGCAGGCTGTCTACCAGGCCTTTTCGGTTGAGCTGCAATGGACCCCGGCGCGCCAGGACTTGACTCAGCTTCGTGGGCGGGCTCTTCATCATGCTTTGTGCAATGATGCGGCTGACCGGGCGGCAAAAGCGGTTGCCTCAAGCTTGCAGAGGGTTCCCTTGCGTGAGTTGGACACTTTGTTCTATGCGACCTGGAGGCGGCAGCGGTGGCTTCAGCAGCTGTACAAGTTGCTGCCTGAGTGCAGCCCGTTTCATGCGGCCGAGGAGGTCGACCCGGGGCTTGGGCAGTGCGACCCTCCTGCGCGGGAACCGCTGCCCGCACGGCCCCGTCGGCCGTCCGGCTCCCCTGGGAGCCGCCGTCTTGGTGGAGCTATGCTCCAAGGCAGTGGGCCGCTGTGCGCGATTTCTTTGCGCAGGCTGAATGGCGGGTCGGTGATTCGGAACCCATTTCCTTGCACGAGCTCGTCATCTACATGAACCACCGCTTTCCGCTGGCGGTGCACACGCCGGGGCGTGTCACGGTGGTTGCGGCCCAGGTCAAGTGGGCCCGCAAGGCTCTTGGGGTGATCCGTGGGCGGTGCGGTGACCCTTCGCCGGGTGTGTGGAAACCGTCGCAGCAGCGGAGCTTCGGTGTGTGCTTTCCCAAAGGCATGTACGCCGGGGCCCCCCTTGTGGTGTCAGGTGGTGAACGCGACCTTCTTGCACAGGCTTTGGCTCGCGTCCATCGCAAGGGGCGGACGCCCCGCGATTGGGACTTTGCCCTTGGCTAACACGGCCAAGGTTTGCTTTTGGCCTTGGCGCCGGCAGGCCCGGAGGTCGGCTCTCGCTCGACGCGTGCGCCCGTGAGATAAACATCACCTCTTGGGTCCAAAGTTCTGAGTTTCGCCTGCAGTTCCCTTATGGCTTGTTTTTAACATCACCTTTTGGGGAGGCCAGTTTCACGTGGGCTTCCTTCAAGTAGGGTGATGCTGGGGGTGGGGGGGAGGGCTTGGCTGTCAGTGAGAGTCACAAAACTGACCCCTCCACATCCTGGTTTCAGGAGCAGCTGTCTGAGTACAAGGAGAAGCGTTTCCAAGAGGCGCCGGAGCCGGGAAACATATCGGAGTCAAGTCGGGGTACATCTTTTCGTATGTCAAGTCTGTTCATTCTTTTAGGGTCAAGGTGTGTTGTTCAGTTGGGCTCTGCTTCTTTCTGCGGGTCAATTTGGGTTGCGTTTCTTTGAGGGTCAAGTTGGTCTCTTTTTTTCAAGGCTCAAGTTGGGCTCATTTTTTCTGGGGTCAAGGGTCGTGTTTGTTCGGGGTCAGGTTGGTTCCGGCTTGTTTTTGGAGTCCGGTCCGAGTGAAGATGGCAGGAAGCCGGACCCGGGTAACTAAAGCTGTGGGCGCGTTCCTAGGCAGCACGATTTGACCCGATGGTATGGGGATTTGGTACCACACATCTGGGCTAGTGTCTAGCGGCTAGGGCCCTCGCCTGACTTTGTCTTGCTGCAAACCCCGGAAGGTTTGTTTCCGGTTGGAACATGTTACCAGTTCTCCAGATGCTTGGGGTGTGTGTTTTTGGCGGCTTTTATCAACGCTTGGGATTAATTGTTTCCTCCTACCAAGAGTGGAAGTGCCCATGCCCCTTTCGGCTACTTCCTAGTGGTTTGTGCGGACAACCGCCCGAGTTGTTTGTATTGCTGGGTTTGGGGATTCATCCACTGAACCTTTGGTCACCCGCACCTCCGAACCTCATAGATCCAAGCCATTGGGTCAGGTGGAGGACGCCATGCTGGAGGGCGAGCTGCTGCGTCGCAAGGCCCTTGAGGCCGTCCCAGTCGAAGGGTGAGGGTCGAAGGGTCGAGGTGGAAGTGGGGGACCTCAAAGTTGCTTCAAAGGGGCTGGATTCAAGGAGTCCCGCTGGATCCACTTGAACTTTTGCAACCATTCAAAGGCTTGGTCGTTTTGAGGATGTCGCTGGAAAACGGACCCAGGGTGTCTTCTGGGTTGGACCTGGACCTGTGGCTCTTGTTCCTCTTTCAAGGAAACCCACCAGGAATCGTTCCAACTCAATTTGAACATCGCTCCCATCCCTCTGGGCCCTGGACATGGCACAACTCCCGTCCCACTGGGCCCCAAACTGGACCCGAGCGCTCCAGGGATCGATCCGGCGCGCGAGCGCGCGAGCGCTTCGCAGGATCTGGAGGCGGAGAGGGAAGCGGAGCAGAAGCGCCGGGGGATGGCCGTCAAGGCGCAGAAGGAGACGCAGAAGGCCAACGCATACCTCAAGCAGATCAAGGCAAGGCTTTTGGTTTGGAGTCTTTTGTTTTGTTTCGTTTGGTTTCTCTGTTTGTTTGTTTTTTTTGGGTCAGTTTTTGCTTTTTTGGTTTTTGTTTGTTTGTTTGTTTGTTTGGTTGTTTGTTTGTTTGTTTGTTTGTTTGTTTGTTTGTCTTTAATATTCGGTTTGTTTTGTTTGTGTGCGTGGATTGGTTGGTGGGTGGGTGGGTGGGTGAACCATGCTTGGCACACAATGTCACCCCTACTTTGGAGCCATGACCTGAGTGGGACTCTGCGGCAGTGCGATGGTTCCTGGAGTTGCCATAAACTCACCAGGCCCGGTGTAAGGAGCATGGTCTTTTGGGGCCTCCCGATCCGATGAGGTTCCATAGGTGGGGCAAGTTCCCCAGCTCCTGCATTGCTTGTCTCTTGGTTGGGAAGCAGTTGCAACCAGCCCAGCCCTCGGTGTTGCATGTAGTGCACGTGTTGCCAACGTCGGATGACCCAGGGGCCAGGCGTTGAAACTCCCGGCGTTTGGATGGTGAGGATATGCGTCGGATGTGCGCGAGGCTGAGGATATGCTGCGGCAGCAGAAGGAGGAGGAAAAGATTCAGGACAGGAGTTGCTTGCAGCTGGTGCAAGCCACGTTTTGGTAAGACCAGTGGCGCCATTTTCCGCTTTTTGTAGAGTGTTTGGGTTTTGAGCCGGAACAAATACAGGCCTTTCCCAGCCAGCCACCGATGGCACTGGAGGTTTGGGCCAACCCGTTGGTGCTTTGGATGGATTGGTGGGAGTGCCCTCTCGGTTCCGTTTCTCTTTCCCGTCATAGTCCGCGCCCTCCCTCCAATTCAAACCAGGGCTTCAGTGAGGTGACAAGTTGCATGTCCGGCTTGACTCGGGACCCTTCTTGCTTCTCCCCAAACACTTGTTTTGTGCAAATGAGACTTCCAGAGTCCATGACTTACATTGGCATCTCTTCCTAATGCACGGCATTCAGAAAGGAAGCTCAGCCTGTGAGAAATTTGAGCTGTGAGCCGAAGGAGCTGCTTGTTGATCTTTGCTTGGAGTGTCGAGAGCTTCTTTGTGAACAAGCCCAAAGATGTCATACAGACGTTCAGCGCCATGCTGTCTACAAGGGGGCAGTGTTTTCTTTCTGTGGTTATCTCAAAAGAACACCTTGGGATACACCTTTGCCCCAGACTCATTTTAACAGCCCCCCCCACCTCTTTCAGGAGTATGCTGCACGCAAAGAGAAGATGATGCAGCTGCGCAAGCAGAAGGAGGAGGAGGTCTTCCAGCAGAAGCAGGCGAGGCTGCAGCCGAGGTGTGACCTCTATGCTCCACTCAAACCCACGTGCAACATTTGTTTTCAGGCCTTTTCCCGGCAACGGTGAACTCATTTTTTAGGCGGTCGAAGTCTGCCAATAATTTTGCGGCTGTGATCCACGGGGGTTGCAATGACTGGTGCCGCTTGCTTGCCCGAAGATTCTCCAGTTCACATGCTCAGTCGTACCCACAGCTATTTGTGGCTTGCACCCCGATACATGTTCAACAATAATGAATATGTGTACTGTATACTCTGCCGGCAACCACTTTGAAAGACCTCAGAAGAACAGCAGCAAGTTCTTTAGACTGTGCTAAGACACCAAGTATTTGCTGCAAAGGGAACCTGAGCGAGCCATGAGGAATAGAGACGTGATAGTGTCTACAGAGAGAGAGAGAGAGAAGCAACAAAAAGGGTGGAGTTCGGGAGCATGGTGGCCCAGAAATCTGTGCTCAAGCACTGCCAAAGCTAAGTAAGCACGCAATTACTATGAGTGATGTGATCATGTCACTCCCTGTGACATCGCCCCAGTTGCCCAAGTTGCCCTCAAGCAATCACATCAAACGAGGTGTACCTATCCTAGTTGCACAGTGACCCGCTCGGTAGAAAAAGAAGAAACCCTTCTTGGGGTTGGTCATGTTTTGTCGGGCACCGGCCCAACACGCGAAATAGGGTGGTCCGTGGCAGCCAGGGAATCAGGGTTCCAAGCTTTGTCTTCCGGACTGATTTTCAGGGGTCCTTTGGAAGACATTCGCCTGGCTCATTCTTGTTTTTTCAGGGATACCTAGAAAAGGCAAACCTGCAACTTGGTGAAGCCCCTGCCACTGTCAGTTTTGCCAAGGGCAAAGATGTAATCCGTTGCCACAGGTTGACCAAGACGAAGGTTCCGTACAAAAGGATTCCGCATGAAGCAACTTTCATCGTGTGATGGGAGAACCCGATTGCAATCCCAAACGCCCTGAATGAGGTCGCCTAAAAACACATACCAGAAGCGAGTTTGCAATCTAAATTAGCCCGACTTGGGTTTATCCTCTGCCAGGCGGCGCGCAATGCCATGATCGACGCACAGGCCATTGGGGCCTCGGGGACCGCGGAGCCAGGGCCAACCGGCATGTCATGCGGTTTGCTTCATGCGATTAGCAAGCAAGCCTTTTGTTTCCAACTATGACTTTAAAGAGTCTCATGTATCAGGGAAATTTTAGTATGCATGTGACGTATGACATGTGGCGCAATTCGCTCCATTTGTGCCCAACATACCTGGAGCCTGAAAGTGAGAGACCCATCATCTTGGGTAAAGTTTGGCTTGAAACAGCTTGCCTTCGTCCCGTTGACGTGGCGCTTCGGCGTATCTGTACCCATACCATGGATTTTGTGCGGATTGCTGTGTGGTCAGCTGTGCTGTCGACACTGTGGAGTTCTCATGCCATGAAGACTCTGGTTGACCAGGAGGCCGCCAATGCAGATGCAGTGGCCAAATGCTACAGTGGTCCGGAGCAGAACGTGTGGGAACTGGTCATGGGGAAGCAGATCGATATCGGTGGAGCATCTTCCACATTGGAGCTGGCTCAAAGGGCTGGTGTCGGACCAGGAATGAAGGGAGTTGAGCTGAATTGCAATAATGGTGGAGGAATGCGCGCCCTTGTTCGTTTGGCCGGAGTGGACTCCATGATTGGAGTGGATTTGACCAAGTCTGTGGTGGAGACGGGCATGAAGAGGACAGAGGAGGAGGGGTTGAGTGACAAGATCAAGTTTATCAACAAGAACTCCTTGGAGAATGGACTTCCCGATGCCTCTGCCGATTTTGTGTACAGCAAGGACGCTTGGTGCTACATGCCTGACAAGCAGAAGATCATTGACCAAGCCGCTCGCATCGTTAAGCCTGGTGGGAAAGTCATGTTCACTGACTGGATCGAGGGTGAAGGTCTCTCGGACCAGGAGGCGCAGAGATATTTGAGCCTGATGACATTCCCTGCCATCCCAACGGTGAAGGAGTATGCGCACATGCTGCAGAAGGGAGGCTTTGAGGTTGAGATTGCTGAGAACAGTGGCCGCTACTTGCCTGCCATGAACAGCTATGTGCACATGCTGAAGAGGCAATCAGTGTACGATGCCAAGAAATTGCTGAATTGGGATGATGAGGCTTACAATAAGTTGATCTCCGACTTTGAGTTCATGGCAGAATTGGCTCAAGAAGGCAAAATCATTCAGGGAATGTTTGTGGGCCGCAAGAGGGATGTCACTCGAGACCTGTGAGTGGCAAGTCAACATGGTGGATCAACAATTCCTGAACAGGCCAGGCACTTTCCGCAAAGTTCCTTGCAGCATTATATCCTGTACAGTAGCTTCACCGTCCATGGCCACAATGATTTATGTTCCTACCTAGGATCTGTGTTGCTGGAAACTGTCAACAGAGCGGACACACGGAGTGCTTGAGTGCATTCCTGTTTTGTGTTTCACGCGCAGTGTTGCAATGCAGCGCTAGTTTTGATGACGCTTTCCATTAGTCATAGCTACGGTGGAGCGGCACAGGCGCCACAAGTGCAAAGAGTGCAACGGGGTCACCTCGCTACCCTGCTTGTCTTCACATAGCCCTCTTTCCAATGATTTTAAAGGGCAACCAAAAGGAGACCACCCATTCTTGTGGGTCCAAATCCTGTATGCAGAAACAGCCATACAGCAACGGATTCATTTTTAGAAGCCCTCACAAGTGGTGGACATAAATCTGCACCAGGATGTCCACCAAGGTGTCCAATTGGCTACACCTCAAATAGCGTTTTTTTTTTGATAGTCTCTTGTTTTTTAAGGACGGCCAAAACAGCCACTGCCTTGGCGTTCCATCTTGATGGCGGTCTTGACGGAGGCCAAACGCCTGGCGGAGATGCAGGACAACGAGGACGCGCGCGTGGAGGGCCAGGTGAAGGCGAAGGAGGCGGGTGACATGTTGCCACGGAGTTGTTTGGGTTTGGATGGATTGCCCCAATCGTTTTTGGGTTTTTTTCCCGGGGGGTTTGGGATTGTTTGGGTTTGGCGGAATGATGTAGGGGCCCCAATCATGATTGGGATTAGATTTGCGTGGGTTTGCTTGGGTTTGCTTGCCTGCCCTTTCCTGCCTGCCTGCCTGCTTGTGCGCTTCCGTTTTGTGGCATCTTGCGTATTTGTTTTGTTTTGTCTTATTTTCCTCCATTGATGTTTTTTTGGTGCTTGTTTGTTTGTTTGTTTGTTTGTTTGTTTACTTGTTTACTTGAATTCTTGCTTGCTTGCTGTTTATGACATGTGTTGTATGTTGGCTTTTTTTTTGTTTGCTGGTTTGTTTGCTTTTTTGCTTGCTTCCTTTTTGTAACATGTTGCTTAGTTGTTTTGCTTCTGTGCTTGGCTTGTTTTGTTTTAATTGTTTTTTTTTGTTTGTTTGTTTGTGCGTCTGTTTGTTTGTTCCTTTGTGTTTGTTATTTTGTCTGATGTGTTTTCTGTTGCGTTGTTGTCCTTTGTTTTGTTTCTCTTTGTTTTGTTTTGCTTGTTTGTTTCTTTGTTTGGCTGTTTGGTTGTTTGCGTACGTGCCTGCTTGCTTGCTTCCTTGCTTGCTGGCTTCTTTGTTGTTGTTTGGTTGCTTGTTTTTTGTTTCTTTGCTTCTTTTGTTGTTTCTTATATTTTATATGCAGCCGGGCTTTCCCATGGCAGGCGGATGATGAGAGAAAGCGGCTGGCGAAGCTTGATATGATGGCCAGGTGCGCCTCTTCACATCCGAAGCTCTTGGTCTGAGGGAGACCTCCAGCGGTGCTCCTTTTTGCTACTCCCTTCGATTGTTTTTTTCTTTCGGGCGGGGGGAGGGAAGTGTTACCAGTTCTTTGGTCTGTGGTTGCGAGTTTTTTTGTTTTTGTGGGGGAGCAGGGAGTGTCCCCCGTTAAAATCAAGACCGCTCTTTCTGGGCAAGGCAAGCCTGTGCTTTTCGAACAGCCCAGACCTTTGATGCCGTTGGTGTCCTTCTGGCTTGGCTTTCAGATCGCGCCCCATTTAACATTCGTTTCAGGAACCGTTGTTTACAGTCCCACATTTGCTACGATCCAGCCGCTAGCCAAAAAGATAGTACACCCTTGGTACGCGACATGAGCCCATGAGAGAAGGTGGGAGGAGGACATCCAGAAGAGTCGCCAGGCGAGGGGCGATTTTCGCCATGCCACAGTGGCAAAGGGACGTGGCCCGCCCCGAGCAAGGACCGCCAGCCGAAAATCAGGGGTCTCTTCCTTTAAGAAGACCCGTAACAATGCAGACCGTGGAGGAAAGGTCAGGGGATGTGACGGTGGTGCTGGCCCATTGCGGAGTCTTGGGTTTTAGGTCGCCACTTTTTGTGAGGGGGTTAAAACATCTTGCACATGGGATGGGAAGCAACCCCATGCGCTTGCCTATGGCTTGCTCCTTTCTGGCGACACTTCCCGAAAGGCCCAGATTCAGCGCAAGCAGAACGCCCGCTCCAGGGCGCGATGGGGGAGGGGCATGGGTGGAGGATTGTCCACCGGTTTTAGTTTGGTTCTGTTCCACTTTCAGTTTGGTATCCATCGGTTGTTCCAAAAAGGCCCCTGACAGCACATGGTTGCTTTGCTTTTCTTGGGGGGGAGGGGGGCGGATTCAGATGCTTTAGTGCCGCAGAGCACTTTGGATTGGTCCTGCATGGAGATGATGAATAGAGCAACAGGACCGGGGGCGGATCCAACACGAACAAGCGGAGGCATCTCAATGAGCAGACACACGCACACATAAAAGCCAATCAATACGTGTATGCCAGGCATGTAAAATACATGCAATGTGTGTATATATATATATATATATATCATACACATATTCACAGTGCAGCCACCCATGTTTGTACGTTGACGATCTTCTCGAACTTCTCGAGAAAGGTGAAGCACAGTCTGAGGCTGTGACTGGCAAGTAGACCAGGGGTTTCTGACCGCCCCTCCAAGTTGGTGCGGCTAGGTCCAGTTGAACGGGAATTCACAGTTGGGGCACCGAGCCACGCTTAGGGGCAAGTAGATAGAACGATGAATGGAGACGGCCCTCCGGAAGGGTTGGTGGACATACATCCCCATGTAGACGACGTTTAAATTCAGACCCAAAGACAGGGGCTCTTGAACAAATGGGTTTGCCTTGTTGCTGTTGCCCTTCAGGTCGGTTTCAAAGGGAAGCCCAAGGAAAGCCGTTGGCTTGTTCCGGGGCTTGGGGGGGTCAGGAGAAGGCGGAGGACGCGGAGACGGCAAAGTTCCTCTCGGAGTGGTGCCGGGTGCTGGACAAACAGGCCGGATTGGGGGCTGACCGAAACAGCACGGACTTGCTAGTTCGATAGGTAGTGAAAAGCACAGGCTTGGGGATGATCCAGGTACCTCTGGTTTTGAGATTCCCCCATTCTTCTTCCATTTGCTGAAAGAATAGTATTTTTTAGTTATTTCCCCCTGTTGTTTTTAAAAGGAATCTATCACTACTGGACATATTTTTATATTTTTTCCAGGGGTCTTAACCAAATGGAAGACTTGCTGGTTCGATAGGTAGGGAAGCAACAAGCTTGGGGATGAAGCAGGCTCAACCTCTGGTCTTGAGATTCCCTCCATTTAGCGCCAACCTGGTTCGCTGGGGAATCAACGGGCTTGGGAATGAACCAGGTTCAACCTCTGTGTTGAGAGGCCCCCCCAATTGATATTTGTTTGGCAAGTGGGTGCAAACCAATGTCTGTGATGAATTGACACTTCAGTTCAGAAAAAGCAGAGCATCATGCTTCCCATCAAGGCATGTCATAGACAAGAGGTGAAGGGAAAAAGGGCAACGCAAGAAAGTGCTGGGGATCCTGTGCTGGCTTCCAGCCAGTTCACGAGACATCCATCCGGGCCTTGTAGATCGCTTTCGCTTGGGATCTCCAAGGCCATGCCCAGCAGACACCGAAAGGCGCTCTCTTCTCGCCGGCGGCTGTGCCTCTTTTGAGGGGGACCCTTCCCCCCCCACAAAAAAAGGAGCAAGAACACCATGGTAAGTACTCTTTTGGTTTGGCTTTGAAACCAACCAAACCAGGGATACCCCTCAAAAAAGACGCTGTTTTGAAGCCCCCTCCTGCTAAAGACACCAAACGACATTCCCTTTTTGTTTTTTTCGCGCGCGCGAGGAGCAGGAGGAGAACCACCTCAAGGACCAGGCGGCTCGGAAGCTGGCCGAGGCGCCCGGCCAATGGCGGAGGGGGAACGATAGAGATGGGCAGGGCTCGGGAAGTGCGAAGTGTGGGTCTTGTCATGTCTTAGCAGAATTCGCAAGTGAATGAATGATGAGGTGTTGCCAAGTGAATGATCAGGTGTTACCGAGAAGATGATCAGGTGTTACTGAGTGATTATCAGGTGCTACCATATCAAGGGGTACCAAGTGAATATCAAGTGTTGTGTTGCCAAGTTAATGATCAGGTGTTTCAAAGGAGAGGCCCAATGGGCTTTCTGTGGCTTGTCGGGTTTGCCGCGCTCGATCTGAGCGGCAGGAGCACCAGAAGCAGGCGCCCAGATGCGCTGCTTCGGGATTCGGGGTGGACCAAATTCCGGCGAAGCGAGCTGGGGCCAATTCCAGGGGTCCCCATGATTCCCTTGCTTGGCGATATGAGCATGCCATTTTTTAAGCTGAGGTTCCTTTGGTTGGGACGAATTGAGGGTTGCTTCAATCATCTTGAATCACTTTTGAGGGTGCTTTTCGGTGCATCTGCCAGTGTCTGCCAGCTTTGGATATGTGGGCCGGCCCTGTCTGTTGTTCCTAATTGTCTTGCTCCCGTGTCCGCTTAACTCAACGGACTGTGCCGATGTTTGGTTGGTGCACTGGAATCAATCTTGCTCGTCCAATTGCACGGCACCTGTCTCTGGCTGCAGGTGGAGCTCCAGAGGAGGAAGAAGAACGAGGACAGCTGGGGATCAGAGGCAACAAACACAGCGTTGGCCATAAGTTTTGATTTCGGCACCCCTTCTGATGGCCTTCACGGAACACGATGCCAGTTGTTTGTACTGGCCGCCTAGTTTGAGACAACTTGATGAGGCTTGATCCACGTGCCGATGGAGTGCCGGGTCTTTCTGAAGTCAAGTGGTTCAGGGCCAGAACAGCATCCGTCCGTGTGTCAAGGTACTCGAATATCCCCACTTGCCCGATGCCGACCTGACAGCAAATCCTTAACCCTTGAGTGCCAGGCTTTACTCACGTAAGTATTGCCGGTTGCTTGTGGCTTGCTTCGCCCTCCAGGGCGAGCGAAAGGCGGGCCCCCAAACCGGGCCACCGCACCGCGTTTTTCCGCCAGGATAAGGATGGCGACAAGGTCGTGGCGGCACATGCCAAGAAGGTGATCGAGGCACGGAGCCAAGAACGTGAGCGCCGAGCTCGGAAAGGGTTCGGAGAACAAATATACAAGCAACTGACCAACGTATTGATTGTCTTTGCTGGGGGCGACATGTCCCACAAAAACCAGGGGCCCAACCAAAACTCCCATGTCCTCCTCAAAACACAAATGATTTAGGCTCAGGCGGTACTCATGCGGTATTGATTGGGAATTCCAACAACTGTTGAACCCTGGGATGGGCCGATCTATATTAGTCGCCTGAGCAATCGCTCCGCGGCCCATTTCCACACAAAGATGGTTTCGTGAAACGAACGAGTGAAGGAATGCTGCATCGTTCGGCACCTCTCCCTTCGTCCAGGCAGACACGTTGGAGTTCCATGCCTACGCAGAGGCCAGAGCTGTTCTCGGAATGAGAGTGAGCACCAGCTCACGGAAGAGGCTAGTTGCTGAGTTCAGATTGTTTGGCCTCAACGATGCTGCAATGTCTTTATGTTGATTTGGGTGTGGGTCAAGAATAGGTACTGAAAACGGGTTGCCCTGGCGAATGGCCAAGCACTAATACCTGCAGTCCCCTGGTGATTCAATTTTGACCCATACCCTTTGTTGCATTGGGAAATGGCACCTGTCCCAGTTGCTGCCCTGATGTTCTGACGACCCAGGACACCAAGGCAAGTGTATCACTCGTGATGACCTGGAGCTTGCTTTTCAGCCACCCCAGTGAGTAAGACCATTTCAATTATTGGCCCGGCTTCGCTCTCAGGAGCTCCAGGGAGAAGGTATCCTTGTTTCCAACTAGGTATCCACCGTAGGGTTTCTCTTTTCCAAGGCCGGCAAAGTAGGCATTTGCTTGTGTTTGGTTGTCAAAGGCCGTTTCATGCGATGCCATATCTAAGCAGCGGAGGTTAAACAAATTGCAAGCTCATGGTTGGCCCCACTTGGCTTTGCAGTAACGTTGCCCTTTGCATGCAACAGAGGATCCGATCAGGTTTCGCCAACGAGCATGATGTTGGCCGCAGTTGTCGCAAGCGCCGGCAACCCTCCGGCACAGAAAGTCATCCGGGAGTACTCCTCGGAGGGAAAGAATGTCATCCCTCTCATCAAGGAGCGAGTTGCGAGCTGCGCTCTGTTCGTTTGCTAGGTCCCCCAGTAGTGCCCTTTTACCCTTTTTTGGGGGAGGGTTCCCCTACTAAAATAGACTACAGAAAAAAGGGGTACCCTTATGTGAACCTCTCTACTAAAGGACCTAGTCTGTGCACGAACCTCTCTCAGTTCCCGGCAGGAGCTGCGCGACTTCCGGAAGCGGGTGTCGGAGTGAGGGCGGGAACACGCCGCCCTTGCGGAGCCTTCGGATCCGAGAGCGGCACTCATTCGCACTTACCGACCCGACCTGTGAGGGTGGCCTGCCGAAAGGGCGAGAGGTATGAAGAAGGTCATGAACAAGGGCCTTTGAAGCAGTTGGCATTGCCCAGAAGCCTTGAGCAAGAGACATTGTGCTTTGACGTTCATTGCACGACAAGGGGAACCTACTCCAGTCACCCACCAAAGTCAGAAGAATCTCCCACGGTCCTTGAGAAGAAATTATGTTTTCCGTGGCTCTTTTCAGATTGGTGGATTTGATATTCGCCCACACCGATGGGCTGCAGAGACTTGCGTTAGCGACCTGATTTTCCGGTCAATTGTGTTCGTTTGGTGTGGCGCCAAAATGACGACCCTGTGAACAATGAGTGTGTATTCCTTTCTTGGGTTGGGGGGGGGGGGGGGAGAAGAATCTCTTCTTAGGGTTGTTGCAAAGGGACACCAAGTGATACTAACCAACGGGCTCGGTTCCGGTCCTTGCCGCTTGGGCCGAAAGCCTGAGGTCTCACCTTCTGCATGCTGTGTAGAACTTGCAAATTGCAGGCATGGCCGAGCCATTTTGAGGCAGAAGCCCCTTGGGTGACCTTCAAGTCATGCTTCGCTTTCTTTATTTTTTCCCATGGCCGCGAAAGGCGGCCCGCCAAATCTTGGAACCGTTGAGGGAGATGGATTCGCAGTGAGGGCTTCTTGTACCGATCGGGTGCGAAGCACCCGGGCGGTGCAGTCAGTTTCACATGGACAATGCGTGTGGAAGGAAAAAAACACCCCAGGCTTTGGACAGGGCCCAAGCCGACTGAACTTGTTTGGCACGTGGTAGCTTCTTTTTGGGTGGGAGCTTTCATGTTGGCCCCATGGTCGACTTGGGCCGAGACCGTCCCCAAATACGGATTAGGTTGAATCAGTCCGAACGGATGCATCCGATGACATGTGTGCTCTTGCACCTCACTCCTTTTGTGCCCAACATGGCTAGAGCCTGAAAGTGACAGTCCCATCTGTTTTTTGTAAAGTTTGGCTCGAAGCTGGCTGCTTTGCCTTCGTCCCGTTGACGTGGCGCTTCGGCGTATCTGCACCTTTACCATGGCTTTTGTGCGGATTGCTGCGTTCTGGACACTGTGGTGTTGTCATGCCATGAAGACTTTGGTTGACCAGGAGGCCGCCAATGCAGATGCAGTGGCCAAATGCTACAGTGGTCCGGAGCAGAACGTGTGGGAACTGGTCATGGGGAAGCAGATCGACATCGGTGGTGCATCTTCCACATTGGAGCTGGCTCAAAGGGCTGGTGTCGGACCAGGAATGAAGGGAGTTGAGCTGAATTGCAACAATGGTGGAGGAATGCGCGCCCTTGTTCGTTTGGCCGGAGTGGACTCCATGATTGGAGTGGATTTGACCAAGTCTGTGGTGGAGACGGGCAGGAAGAGGACAGAGGAGGAGGGGTTGAGTGACAAGATCAGGTTTATCAACAAGAACTCCTTGGAGAATGGACTTCCCGATGCCTCTGCCGATTTTGTGTACAGCAAGGACGCTTGGTGCTACATGCCTGACAAGCAGAAGATCATTGACCAAGCCGCTCGCATCGTGAAGGCTGGTGGAAAAGTCATGTTCACTGACTGGATCGAGGGCGAAGGTCTCTCGGACCAGGAGGCGCAGAGATACTTGAGCCTGATGACATTCCCTGCCATCCCAACGGTGAAGGAGTATGCGCGCATGCTGGAGAAGGGAGGCTTTGAGGTTGAGATTGCTGAGAACAGTGGCCGCTACTTACCTGCCATGAACAGCTATGTGCACATGCTGAAGAGGCAAGCAGTGTACGATGCCAAGAAATTGCTGAATTGGGATGATGAGGCCTACAACAAGTTGATCTCCGACTTTGAGTTCATGGCAAAATTGGCTCAAGAAGGCAAGATCATTCAGGGAATGTTTGTGGGCCGCAAGAGGGATGTCACTCGAGACCTGTGAGTGGTGGCACAGCAATTCCCGAACAGGCCAGGCACTTTCCGCAAAGTTCCTTGCAGCATTACATCGTGTACAGTAGCTTGAGCGTCCATGGCCACAATGATTTATGTTCCTAGCACCTAGGATCTGTGTTGCTGGAAACTGTCAACAGAGTGAAATCAGGGAGTGCTTGATTGCATTCCCGCCTTGCGTTTCACGCGCAGTGTTGCAATGCAGCGCTAGTTTTGATGACGCTTTTCAATACGCTCTTCACTAGTTTACCAGCTACGGCCCATGGACCAACACGCGCCATAAGCGCAAAAAGGGGGAGTGCGACTGTTGTCGCAAGCCCAGCTTTTGCTCTGATGGCACTTGGCAGCGTTGGGCTTGGGAGCTTCCATGTTGACCCGGTAGACCGCTACATGAGCTGTGCCACGCCGCACTGGTGGAGCATGATTGTGCGCCGGCAGACCGTTGGCTGGTGTACATGGTGACAATCTAAGCCGAAAACAATTTCAGCATGGCAGATCTTGGCCAAGTTACCAGCATGAGCGATCGATCGCCACCAGACGATACGAGGATTTGTTTGATTGCAAGCCAGTCCGATCCCAAGTGGGGCCGTACAGGCTACACATTCCAGAATTGATTCAAGGAGGGTGTCAACCCTTTCATGGGCAAGTAGAAACCACCAAAAACCCACTGGGAGCAGAACACGCGGACAAGCACACACACACACACACACATACAACGCAAGGATACAGGGTGGTTCTTATTTCGTATTAGGAGAGTTTCATAGAATTGGTTAAGAGTGTGCGAAGCCCATGTGCATTGCGACGGATGGCACTGCATGACGGCGGGGCAGTTCCGTTCCATATTCCCTGGGGTCGCTTCAAAGCCTCCAAGACAAGGGATCTATGGTTTTCACCCCTTCTGCTTTGCTTACAAGTCCCGCTTCAAGTGTTGTTCAGTGTGGTGCATTTGAGGCAGACTGTGTGCTACATGGCCAACATGGCTAGAGCCTGAAAGGGACAGTCCCATCTTTTTTGTGGGGGGTAAAGTTTGGCTCAAAGCAGGCTGCTTTGCCTTCGTCCCGTTGACGTGGCGCTTCGGCGTATCTGCACCTTTACCATGGCTTTTGTGCGGATTGCTGCGTTCTGGACACTGTGGTGTTGTCATGCCATGAAGACTTTGGTTGACCAGGAGGCCGCCAATGCAGATGCAGTGGCCAAATGCTACAGTGGTCCGGAGCAGAACGTGTGGGAACTGGTCATGGGGAAGCAGATCGATATCGGTGGTGCATCTTCCACATTGGAGCTGGCTCAAAGGGCTGGTGTCGGACCAGGAATGAAGGGAGTTGAGCTGAATTGCAACAATGGTGGAGGAATGCGCGCCCTTGTTCGTTTGGCCGGAGTGGACTCCATGATTAGAATTTTAATTTAACCAAGTCTGTGGTGGAGACGGGCAGGAAGAGGACAGAGGAGGAGGGGTTGAGTGACAAGATCAAGTTTATCAACAAGAACTCCTTGGAGAATGGACTTCCCGATGCCTCTGCCGATTTTGTGTACAGCAAGGACGCTTGGTGCTACATGCCTGACAAGCAGAAGATCATTGACCAAGCCGCTCGCATCGTGAAGGCTGGTGGAAAAGTCATGTTCACTGACTGGATCGAGGGCGAAGGTCTCTCGGACCAGGAGGCGCAGAGATACTTGAGCCTGATGACATTCCCTGCCATTCCAACGGTGAAGGAGTATGCGCGCATGCTGGAGAAGGGAGGCTTTGAGGTTGAGATTGCTGAGAACAGTGGCCGCTACTTACCTGCCATGAACAGCTATGTGCACATGCTGAAGAGGCAAGCAGTGTACGATGCCAAGAAATTGCTGAATTGGGATGATGAGGCCTACAACAAGTTGATCTCCGACTTTGAGTTCATGGCAAATTTGGCTCAAGAAGGCAAGATCATTCAGGGAATGTTTGTGGGCCGCAAGAGGGATGTCACTCGAGACCTGTGAGTGGTGGCACAGCAATTCCCGAACAGGCCAGGCACTTTCCGCAAAGTTCCTTGCAGCATTACATCGTGTACAGTAGCTTGAGCGTCCATGGCCACAATGATTTATGTTCCTAGCACCTAGGATCTGTGTTGCTGGAAACTGTCAACAGAGTGAAATCAGGGAGTGCTTGATTGCATTCCCGCCTTGCGTTTCACGCGCAGTGTTGCAATGCAGCGCTAGTTTTGATGACACTTTTCAATACGCTTTTCACTAGTTTACCAGCTACGGCCCATGTCTTGGAGCCCTCTTCTGGACGGCTTGAAAGGGAGCCTCAAAAGAGAGCACCCATTCTTAAGGGTCCAAATCCTATTTCAGGAAACCTCCATGTAATTGTCAATCGATTCCCTTTTGGAAGCTCCTCTTTCATGTGGTTGTCGGACCACCATGTGCACTGAAAGTGGCTAAAGGGTCCAATTGCACACAGATCCAATAGGGGGAATATTGAATGGACCCCCCCAGAAGGTGGTTTTCCCTTCGGTTTCCCTTTAAACCACAAATGGGGGGTCTCCCCGAAAAAGAGACCGGAATCAACAAATGGTGTGGTTTCCTTTGTTTTTGCAAGCACCTGAAGATGGGTTTGAGGGCGAAATCCGCTAGATCGGCCTCTCGCAGCCAAGCGCCTAGGGGAGCACACCAGGAAGATTGGGTGGTTGTTTTTTGAATAGGACTTGGTGCCCTAAACTGGTTGGTGGCTTTTTGGTCTTGCCTTTCAATCCCCACCCAAAAGGAAGTCCATCTTGAGAAGCTGTGTCGGATCCGGAAGGGCTCCGAGAAAGGCAAACGGGCCCTTTGGACCTTCCAATCCAGAAGTATTTGGTACCCTGCTTCAAAATTTGACCAACCAATCGTCTCCTGTTTGCCCGCTGCAAAACAAGTGGAGAGGGGTATGAAGGGTCTCAACTAGGCCCAAGCTCCTGAGCAGGTCTCAGTGAAGCAAGAGACATGGTGTTCATTGTGGGACGTCAAGGGGAGTCCAAATATTCCATGCTAGGGGAGTGAATTACGTTGTCCGCGGCTCATTGCAGGCTGGCGGATTCGCTGTTCACCAGATCTTCTTGGCGGTGACCTGCGGGAGTGACGAGTTTGTTCGATCTCTGGTTTGTCATTTGGTGTGGCTCCAACAGGAGGGCCCTCATGCAAAGGATGCGTGCATGTGAGTTCCTTCTTCGGGGGTAGAAGATGCTTGTTTCAAAGGGAAACTGGCGGATGAGTCCCGTTTGCGAAACCTAGCATGTTCCCCTGCGTAGTGGCGCTCCCAGCCACTCGGGTCCAAAATAGTTAGGTCTCGCCTTCTGCATGCATTCAGGTTTACGAGGACATTGCGTAAAGGAAAGGAGCGCACGAGACCAAGCGCCTGTTAGCTTTCTCTGCTTGGGATATTGTTTCTATGGCCCCAGGGACTGCTTGAGCCGTGCCTGCTACTGACCGCATGCATAAAAGTTGGACGCATGCGTCCCACGCGTGACATGAGATGCAACCCGTCCGTTTGGTGCACAACATAGCTGGAGCCTGAAATTGACAGACCCGTGAATTTGGTGGTAAAGTTTGGCTCGAAGGAGCTTATTTGCCTTCGTCCCGAGAAAGTGACGCTGCGTTGTATCTGCAGCCTTCAAATGGCATTTGTGCGGATTGCTGCGTTCTGGACACTGTGGGGTTGTCATGCCATGAAGACTCTGGTTGACCAGGAGGCTGCCAAGGCAGATGCAGTGGCTAAATGCTACAGTGGTCCGGAGCAGAACGTGTGGGAACTGGTCATGGGAAAGCAGATCGATATCGGTGGTGCATCTTCCACATTGGAGCTGTCTCAAAGGGCTGGTGTCGGACCAGGAATGAAGGGAGTTGAGCTGAATTGCAACAATGGTGGAGGAATGCGCGCCCTTGTTCGTTTGGCCGGAGTGGACTCCATGATTGGAGTGGACTTGACCAAGTCTGTGGTGGAGATGGGCAGGAAGAGGACAGAGGAGGAGGGGTTGAGTGACAAGATCAAGTTTATCAACAAGAACTCCTTGGAGAATGGACTTCCCGATGCCTCTGCCGATTTTGTGTACAGCAAGGACGCTTGGTGCTACATGCCTGACAAGCAGAAGATCATTGACCAAGCCGCTCGCATCGTGAAGGCTGGTGGAAAAGTCATGTTCACTGACTGGATCGAGGGCGAAGGTCTCTCGGACCAGGAGGCGCAGAGATACTTGAGCCTAATGACATTCCCTGCCATCCCAACGGTGAAGGAGTATGCGCGCATGCTGGAGAAGGGAGGCTTTGAGGTTGAGATTGCTGAGAACAGTGGCCGCTACTTACCTGCCATGAACAGCTATGTGCACATGCTGAAGAGGCAAGCAGTGTACGATGCCAAGAAATTGCTGAATTGGGATGATGAGGCCTACAACAAGTTGATCTCCGACTTTGAGTTCATGGCAAATTTGGCTCAAGAAGGCAAGATCATTCAGGGAATGTTTGTGGGCCGCAAGAGGGATGTGATCCGTGAACTCTGAGTGGTGGCTCAACAATTCCCGACCAGGCCAGGCACTTGCCGCAAAGTTCGAAGTACCTTGCAGGGTCAGACAATTTGCAACGCAGGGCTTATGGGCCCATGCGCGCGCAACAAGCTCAAAATGCAGTGCAATTACAAGGTCTCCTCGCCGCCGGAGTGTTCGACTGTGCTAGGAGAGCACTTGGCAGCTTCCTCTTGCTCTTGGGGGCTTTCATGTTGACTCGCTGGTAGGAAAGTTATTCCTGATCCAAGAGATGACAGGTAGTTCTGGGAATGAAAATAATCTGGAAAGGATTGGATTCTCGGCACAACATTAAATCCTAAGGAATGCATTGGGAAAATATAGGAAGAGTAACGATGATGAGTGTACATGAGTACAAAAGTAAACAACTCTTAGTACCAACAATATTTTGTCCATTGATGATTTTTCCAAGAACATAGCAATTATAGCTTCTAAAGAGAGAACAACACGAACATGTGCTACA